CAAGACAGCGAATGGGACTTTCATCGGAGTTGAAACATTTTTTTTGTACTCGCTTGTGTCAAGGCTGATCTTATAAGACAAGGAGACATTTTGCTATAATATTTTGAAAATAAATCCTACTTAATAACGGTCACATGCAATAGAACTTTGTTGGGAACGGTGTTTGGGCACAACGATCTCAATCGTACCCCATGAGTGAAACAGAATATGATGTATACTCACACGCAAAAGAAACGCAAGTGGTTGAAGCAAATAGGTAACAAACACGGAACCATAAATTGATACGAGTTTTAGCATGTAGTGAAGCCTGATGGTGTTATCAATAGTTTTGGTTGCATTTTGGAAGCCCCGAGTAAAAACGCAACATAAAAAACGAATCGCCAAAACGCACCATTTCAATGAATATGTGGGTATCATGCACCCATTTCTCGCGAAATCGAAAATGCACGAACTGCCACGAACTGTAGTGGGTATAAAACTGTGGCCGATTCTTGGACCTACCACTCCTTGGTCAACAATGCCACGCCTAACTCAAATGCAGAGAAACCAGGCTATCGGACGTTTGGAAGCTGAAGTCTGTCCAAGATGTTGCCCGTCATTTCAACGTTAACATAACCACAATTTACCGTCTCCTGCATCGATACAATGCTGTGTAAGCCCTTAACATTTAAAAAAACAAACAATTATGTCATCTGCCTTTTAATCCATTAAACTGTCTTCAGTCAAATTTTTGTCAATCTTGCCCTATTAGTATTTCTTGTCTTTACTGTTGAAAATAATTAACATGTATACTGCATACTCGACTTGCGTTCTTTTTGCGTGTGAGTATATAATCAAAGTCTTTTTGGCCGGATATAACTGCTAGGTATAAGAAATTGTGTAAACCTTTTGAAATTATGAAGGGAGAAGAGAAGAGTTCATGTAACTGTGAACTTTGCATTGTTTCAACACTTGCCATTTTTGGACACTAAATGCAGAAGTAAGGCATATGTGTCGTCAGGCTGATTTGCTATGAGTTTTAGTTCTCAGGTCACGTATTTGCTCATTGTTGGATTACATTTTGCACTGAATTTAAGAAAAGGTATTATAACTATTAAAACCCATGTGTCTCTGCTTCATCACGTCATTTGTTATTATGAACATTTGCCATTAACAGAAAGAAGTCTAGTTTTCAGTCATATTCATTCACATGTCCGTTTATGTTCATAATCATTGTTCAAAGTTGCTGCCAGTTACAAATAGATTGGATTGTAAGCTCTTGCTCATGACCAAAAATATGACGAAGACATTTTTATATTTCGTTTGGATTTAGATAAACATCATACAACGTCCGTACTTCACCTTTTTGTACTGATGTTGAGTGCATTTATCATCAGGTGAAGGCGGAAGACCATTCTGACATATACCGTACACGTTTTGATAAGTTTAGCAATCATTGTTGCTTACAATATGTTGTACATAAATTCATGTTCTGTTAGCATTTGGTAAAACTGAAAGCGTACGGAGGGCTGGCTGTCCTGTATACAATGCCCCCTGACACATGCAAACAATGCAGGATATATATCAAGATCAAATACAAAACCATCGCAATCACTCTGGTAACATATAACAGACAAGCTTGCCTGTCTTCCCTGTACAGTATTGCCTGGCACCTGGCGTGTCTGACGAACGCTACCACGTATGCTAATTGAAATTATATTTTGATTTTGAATTCATATTTAAATAGATATGTATACAGCTGTTACGCCACAGAAACACCGTAGGATTGTGTAGAATGCTGCAATGTAATGCCAAATGCTTGAATGGATTATTTCCTTTGATTAATATCAAAGTTGGATGGGAAAATAGAACCTAACTCTAGATTCTGCAATATACATAATTGTATCCACGGTGGGGATACAGGTGAGTTTTACCATGCAAATTAATACTGCCGTGTTCATGTTCATCTCATCTAATGATGAAGTTTTTAAAGGAGTTGTGGTCAACAAGAAATTGGTGACATTATATGATCCGTCCTCTCACATTGAGTAGGTGGATTAAACCTAGCGCTTTATCTTTATGTCGTACGTATGGAAATTGTGATTAATTAAGGTAAACGTGCCACCAAGAATGATGATTGGTACCGAGATATTTGCTCAACTGTCACATATACATTGTATCCGGAGCTCCTCTTAACGTCCCTGTGGCTGAAGCATGGCGGAGGGGTATCGGGTTGATCGACCTTTCATACAGTGAGCGCTCTTTTAAGAGTAAACGAGTGATCGATGGTGTTTTTGTTGTTTTCCACGGTATTTCTGTTACATCACAACATGCAAGCTCGGGAGAAAATCCCGAAGTTCTCATATGTTTACATCCCGAGTGAAGCGACTAGGACGGTTATAATTCTCGAATCATGATCAGGGCGGATCTGGAATTCGAACTCACGATCGTAAGACCCTTGCACGTATGAAGGACGCCACTATATTACTAGGCTGGCCTTGCCCTCAACAAGATTTACGGACTACAGACAGAACGATTCGAACATACCAAGCAAAGAACATTGTGATTGTGACTATAACAGTAATGGATACATCTACTGCACAGTTACTGGTAAGCCAGGCTAAGTTGAGGCGTGACCTGACAATTAAACCCGTATGACCATGTATGAAGTCCGCCCACTGGCGCGTAGCATTGTTAAGAAAGGGGTAGCGGCTGATCCGCGATAAGTAGTACGATGGACATATGCGTGTCCTGTCTGTCGAAGTTTGGTAGCGAGTTCAATAGCGGACTGGTCGTCAAGTTGGGGTTTAATCACTGGACGATTTCGCGACTTGCTTGCGCAAATGAAACTACTCTCGCCTTTGTCACGAAGGATACCTTCTGCTCTAATGCGCTTTAGCGTAGAGAGAGACCAGTGGCAATGCTAGCTTTTGTCAGTAGTTGAGATTTTCTTTTTCACCCTTTCTCCATGTAATTTATGACATTATTGGCCAATTCTCGAGAATTGTATGAGAATGTATGATTTGTCCATGCTTACCTAGCTTTGACATGTTTATTTGTTTGTAATTAACTTTTCTTACACACCTGTGGGTGAGAAACCAATTTGAAATAACTGGTATCAAACATATGTGTGAGATCGAATTCCAGGCCCGTGATTGGCTACTCCATGGTGATGACCTGAGGTCAGATGATGACGGACTACTTTCCATAAGTTGCTCGTGCTTCAGTCGAATGTTCACCTACGTCTGTATTGAACCACCGGACCGTGTGATTAATAATAATAATAAACAAACTCGTCCTCGTCTGCGAGCTTGTTTGTTATTATTATCAGTTACATTATCTGTTTAGAGTGTAAACCACCTGGATGCCACAGCGACACTTATGTCCCTCCTCTTCAACCCTCGCTTCGAAATCGAATAAAAAATATTTGAAATACATTACGCAAACTAATACACTTCTGTTTTTAATTCCTCCTTCTGTTCATCATTTACTGTCATTTTAGGCAAAGCAAAATTAGTGAAAGTGACTTCTGAAAATTAGGTACATCGTAAATCCTGTTAAATCACAATTCACGGCGTTATTTTGTGTTTAGAAATCTCAATATCGGATATTTACTCGAATAATTAAAGTAAAAAAATAGCATATTAGTGATCAAGGGTATCAAATCACTACTGATGATTCTGAAACGTCGCTGATAAGCCTAGAATCGTTTAGAATGTTTTGGAAAATACGCATACATGAACGCCGAAGTGTACGTTAATCCGTCATATTGGATTGTGTTTACAAAATGCCGGTTATGAGACGATCAGGTATATTATAAACTCATCCCTGAATCCTCATACATTATAGAAACAAATGACAAATTTGGCGTGGAAACGAACGCTATGCACGGAAAACTGTACTTGTTGAAATGTAAACAAAGCAAATTTCAGATTTTACACTGTGTAGCATTTGTGGAGGTACTTTCGTCTAGTTGTTGCATATAATGGCTCCATCACGCGTTTGAGAATATTCATGGGAATAGTATCGTTGCACTAATTATGGAATTTACAAATATATACATTACAATGATGTGGTAAATACAACAGAAACCGTAAAAGTTTCCGTCGTGTGTGACGCCATGACTGACGCTAAATCACGCACAACGACGACGGTAGTTATCTGCATTTCTGACTAATTCTCTTTGTTACATTGTAAAACATTGTAAACAAATAACAGTACGCAGATTGTCAGAATGCTTCTGATTACTTACATGACACTTTTATGTATATACGATCCCTCAATGAACGAAAATCTTCCTCTGGAAAACCCGCGTACTGTTGCCAGTGAACAGGCCATTTTGTAAAGTCGGTCCCCGGTTGTGATGTCATACGGAAGTAAACACTTTTGTACATATTTGGTAATATCTTTGAGGTGTGAACTATTAACTCGGCATCCAGCGTGTTCTTTGCTTTTGTCTAGTTTGCACTATTATCATCATCGCCTTAATAATCCACAGATATGACGGAAACCTTTTTGTGTAGGGTCACATTATTTATGAGTAGTAAGCAGCACATGGCATGACGTCACTTTGACAGTGATGTTATGTATTAATGCGCTACACCGATCACGAGAATAGACAAAATGCATCGATTCGATGCTAAAAAGGTGCAATTGTAGGCCCAATTAAGGGTGTGTAAGAAACAGATTACTGCACTCGTGCCTGTCAGATACCATTGATCTTACAACTCGTTGTTACAAAGCGTATATAACTCGCTTTCGCGCGTTAGATACGTTTTGAAACAACTCGTTGTAAGATCAATGGTGTCTGACAGACACTCGTGTCGTTATCTCTATCTATCACCAAATACGCCGATTATTCTTGCACCCCAAAGTCTATTCTTATCAGGGTCACCCTACTGACCCACGCATGGTGGGCCACTTTTGTAGGAATTTCCATGTATGGTACATTTTATTGAACAGACTTGGTATGAAAGTCAAAGTTGATGAATAAAATGATTTAAACTTTTCCAAGCATTTAGCATTCTTGATATGACCAATAAAATGTCTCTTTAATACCCAATGGGGACACCAGTAGACACTCAGCAGGGAGTGGAGAACCAGCTGCGGCCAACTGATGATACAATCGTTAGACGCATCTGGGATGAACAAACATTTACAAATCACTAACCAATCATGGGTACCGAAATAGAAATGTTTTACTAAAACCGGAATGTTTCCAGAAATCGAAGTCATATAGCGGAAATAATAATGCTTCGTGGGAAATACAGAAAACAACTGCACCGATGTTCTTACCTCTATGGGTAATACCTGTTCATTATAATGCCTGTCCCTCTTATTCTTCCTTGGCATATTCGATCAATAGGCATAGCCACATCATAATTAACACTGCCCCACCCATATATTCAAGGCAAGGGACAAGTACGCAAAAAATTGCATATTAGGTCAATATATTGATATATAATATAATGCACAGTGTTATCTGTGCGATAACCAACCTGATAAACGTAGTATCGCGATTTGATAGATATGCAAATGAGGACACCCAGGATGAACTGCGTTAAATACATTGATAAAAGGCCAATTTGCTAAAGAACTAACATTTCCAAAGGGTTAAGATAAGGTAAGTGGGAGAGTGCTTATTTCAACAAACATAGCTACAGATATTTTGTCACCATATAACGAATGTGTTCACTCAGGCTTTGCTTTCATGCGCGGCGTTTCATGCTATACTTTTGTTAGCGGAATTAAACTTCCAATATATTATTAAAACGACATCATGTGATACAGAGACTGTTGCTCAGGTCTGTTTCCGCACATATGTCATATATTGGGAATATAAATATGTATTCTGCTCTCGCATAGTATCGATTTTTTTTTAAATAGCTAAATATAAAATGATATCTACTTTACGGAAAACACTCAGAAAATAATATCCTGATGTGTTTTCCTGATCAGAGAATTGCTACAAAACATGATAAATGAAATAGTCTATTCTGACAAATTTGTAGTTGTCGATCCTCATCTCGCTTTTGATTCGTGTAATTGATTACTGATAACAAAATATTAAATATTTACTCGTGAAGCAATGTTCAATCACTGCTTGTAGAACTACTATCATCAGTGCCTGTAGAATTGTCAACATCAATGCCTGTAGAGTTGTCAACATCAATGCCTGTAGAGTTGTCAACATCAGTGCCTGAAGAATTGTCAACATCAGTGCTTGTAGAATTGTCAACATCATTGCCTGTAGAATTGTCAACATCAGTGCCTGTAGAATTGCCAACATCAATACCTGTAGAATTGCCAACATCAATGCCTGTAGAATTGTCAACATCAGTGCCTGAAGAATGGTCAATATGAATGCCTGTAGAATTATCAACATAAGTGCTTGTAGAATTGCCAACATCAATGCCTGTAGAGTTGTCAACATCAGTTCCTGTAGAGTTGTCAACAGTAAAGCCTGTATAATTATCAACACCAGTGTCTTCAGAATTAAGAACTTCAATGCCTGTAGTCTGGTAGTCAACTCTAGTGTTTTCCAACATAGGCTCTTGGATTATGACGACAGTGACGTCTTCTTCACGTGGTAGATCCTCGTTTCCATGACGCTGAGACACTGCGGATGTCTTGTTCTCAGCTTCTGGACTGACCCTATCCCCTGCATCCGTAGCTTTGGCGTTAGTGTAAGTGTTACTGTTACCGTTGCAGTTACTCGTAGTAACACGACCCTCGTTGTGAGGTTCAGTATGTTCAACTAAAAGATGAGATGGAACTACACGATCGGCAGTTGCAGTGGTACTGTAACTGGCATCTTGTCTTCCTCCATGGGACGGTTCATCCTTTTTGAATACAAATCTAAGTTTGTCAATCTTGTTTTGATTCCTTCGCCGTAGTATGAACAGTAGAAGTACAGCCAAGACGATTATGACCACCAATCCACCTAACGTACCTCCGACTATACCACCGACACTCTAGTTAAGCGAGAAAAAATATACAAAATGAACTTGAACAAACAAACCATATCATATATTGGTGTGTCATCCAAATGGCTAAACAATGTGACAACCATATCATATATTGTTATATCAAATGCTCAAATCAACTCAAATTGTTAAATTTGAAACCTTCTGTCATATTTGATTTGTGTAATGAAACGTAGGATTATAAAATATCAGCTTATCTATTTCTAAATTACAATATATTTTTAGGAATATCTATCAGTGCGCATTATAATGAGTGCTTTATGAACATGTTAATAGCGAGTGAGTTAGTATTGTTTTACGCCGCTTTTAGCAATATTCCAGCAATATCACGGCGGGGGACACAATATCACACATTATACCCATCTGGGGAATCAAACCCGGGTCTTCGGCGCGACGAGCGAAGTTTAACCATTAGGCGACCCCACCGCCCCGTAATGTTAATAAGCGTCGGTACCTGAGACTCGCTTTTTGTACACCCATCGAACGATTTCTCGAGACCAGGAGAGAGATCGAACTTGCAAACCCCTGTGTTGCTGTCCCGGTCCACAACGATGATGTAGGGCATAGGGTTGCAGCAGTCGCTTCTGTTAGAGACAATTTGAAACGTTTAATGGCGTACGTTACGAAATGTTTACAGAAAACACGCTTCTTGATAGCATGTACATCTCTTACAGAAACCTTTAGGGATGGCTGACTTTCCAAAATGACATTTTCCTTAAGTTATTTGAAAGAGAAGTCAAATATATTTAACTGAGATGAGATGTCCTATATATGTAATCACTTTCAAAAACTATATTCTTAAAATACACCTAGAGGTTTGAGAGAGGTTGGCTTCTGTGTGACTAAGAACAACGTTTCCCATTGGTATTAACTGAAAGTAGTAGGTACTTAAATCAATATTAGCGAATTCGCGATATCAGCGCCCATAACTTCAACTCAACTTTTGGATAAAGTGGTCATGGCATTATATGGTTCCACACTGATCATACTTACGAGATTGTCGCCGTGGGCAGGGTTGTTGCTGCAGTTGGGTCGTACTGGAACGTTCCCCTACTGCCGTTCACAGACGCAGATGCTCTGTAGATCCCTGATCCGACATCCCTGACCGTGGCTGTTCCCGACCATTTGAAATCTTCGCAAGAACAGGGGTCGATTTTGTCAGCATCGCAAGATCCAGTTGTAGATATGATGGTGCATACTGGTGGAGTGTTATCAATAGCCTTCGAAAATAGAGTACGTTGAAGAGAACCTTTGACACATATATGTATTTCAGCTGTTTGCACTTACTAAATGAATGTTTTTGAACTTCAGAGTGTGAATTGCTTTTAACAACGCTTTAACATCATTGCAATAGTATCACAGGGTGTCCAGCCAAACATTTGAGCACTTGTTTCATGCGTATTAGAACCGATTTTCATTATCATCGGATCCTGGCAACAAGTAGGGGGGGGGGGGGGGGGGGGGGGGGGGGGGGGGGCATAACTACGCACGGCAACCTGTGGCACCTTTAACCACAGGGATGACATTCTTCCAGCCACGATCCGGGCTCATGAATTCTTTTGTATTAAGACAGCAGGCGACGGTTACGATTATTTAACTCATGGCGTATATTTGACAAATATGTTGATTATTATGCCTCATACATAAACCCAATATGAAGCTGTCCAGTCGTTATGTGTGAAATAAGGACCAACCTTAGTGACCTGGCGCTGGACAAGGTAGCGAGCCACGTCGTACTGTTCCAGTGTAGAGGACTGCGTGGTGGTGGCGAGAGCCACTAGTGTACTGTAACACAGCGATCCCTCCATGTTACTATGGTTTTATAGATTCACATGAAAAAGAATTAAAGTATTGCCAGAAACGAAAACCTGCGTGTTCCTCAATAATTTAGATGCTAAAATTGTCACATTCTTTAACTGGAAATATGTTTCTTGTCCAGTTAGAAAGATTTGGAAATAAACAATTTATGTATTAACATATGTTGTAAACAATAAATTCTGCCACAATTCCCTATACAGGTATTACGCCCATTTGTCGTGCCAGGGTCCGGCGATCCGAACAGTATATATTAAGTGTGTACCAGCGATGTGTGAGCCTGTGTTCAGTATTGTGTTTACATCAAGTCTACAGTGAATGTACTTCTTAAGAGAATTCGATGAAGAAATTGTGTGATGTGCTTTGCTGCATGGGTGTAGCTACTCGAATCTTATATTTTACAAAGTACCATTTGCATACACGGATCCAGAAGGGGGTCCAAGGGTGTCCACCGCATCTTTGTAGCATACAGAACATTTATACATTTATAGGTGATCCTATAAATATTAGCAACAAAACCATTTCGATAATATATGAACAATCCCAGCTATATCATAAGCATGTGTTTATGAATCACTATCAGTAAGTGATGATAACGGCACTTTGATTAACGATTTGGTGATATCATGTAAAAATATATTCACAATTACTGAATTCGAATGCCAAATCACATAATGCACCCCTCCTTTCCTAAAAGCTGCAACCGCGCTTTATTCACCAAATATTAGTCGCCAATGTTCAGTACCAGAAAACCAAACCATGTTTCATGACACGATATTTTAACAAAATTATAGGATTGTACAATGGAATTTTCAAACTTAAGTCATGTGACTCCCTTTGTGCCAAAATAGCAACCATAATAATATTACAAGTACATGTATGTCTACCTTCACGTATGTAACCTTGAACAACAGCACACAAACATATACCTCATCCGCTTTGAGGAACACGCTTCTCTGTCATCCGTCCCTAGCCGCACTATTGATAGAATTACTACTCACGTAGCCAGCTCACTGCTCCCCGGGTAGAGCCTGAGTGACCCAATGGCCGCCCGAGCCCCATGGATGGTGAAGTGTTGTGTTATCACCCCTGCTGACACTTGGCGATCAGTCTCAACCTCCACCGTGATAGAAGTTCCATCCTCGCTCTCCTTTGAAACTCGGAAGGGCACAGTTACTTGCCTGTTCATGTAAATACTTTCTGAAATAACAACACAGAACTCATGGTTCATTAAAATAATATGACGATGTACTGTTTGTGTAATCCAGAAGGATGCAGAACCTGATCTTATCTTCAACGAGTAAGGTCAGTGGGGCTATCTTTCATATTAGTATAACATCACGACAAATATTGGAATCTGTGATCCCTAGTTCGGAATTTAATCCAAAGTCACCCCATCGCTTCTACCCAATCACAACAGTTGTCACATGGACGGCAAGATAGCAACTTTGTTTTAACTATTTTAGATGCTTGTGCTTTCGTGTTGGAAAGTGCAAGTAGCATGTTTACCATTATGTGGAGAAAAAACATCAATATCCACTCCCACTGGGACGATCGTCATGGGCATAATTCGCTGAAAACGATGACCTGTCTTAGTTTGTCCCTCAAAGGTCACGGCGAAGGACTGAAATAAGATGTCGTGTTTGAGACAATCGTTTGACTAGCGAATGTTTCATATACAAGAAACAAGTGACGTTTACATTACTCTTGTGCAAAAGAAGGGGAACTCACGATGATGTATATTAAGCTGATGATCATCAAATACACGGTACATGCCTTGGCACGGTGAGCGTTGTTGACGTTTAACACACCTTTCTAACATAAAGACACCAATACAACAAAGTTAAACACTTGCCGACGGTGGAATGGTAACTGTTTTCCTGTACGTAAGTTGTCCGTCGAGGCGTTTAATCAAATCTTCTGAACTGAAGGTGAAGGTGGAGGTGGGTACAGTTGATGGAGCCTGTGTCAAGCTAGCAGATACGAGGTGGTCGACTTCACTCCCAACCACGGTGACGGCCATTAATGTGTTCGATCCTGTGCAAGGAGAAATACATTTGGTTGAAGCAATTCCTGCCAAACATTACACAACAAAATGTCAACACAGTAGCTGATTTATCCCGTCCAATGGTACAGTGGCATTTTTGTTGTATGATCATTTGTCGCGCAGCGCCATTTGTATATTGAAACTAAAAATATATACATATTTAGTTTCATTTCTATTTAATGTATCATCTTCTTTCGAATATCTTATTGACCAAAAACTGCGAGTCTGAAAAGAATGTGGCGCGTTTTGCTGTTCATTAACTGTACAGAGTGCCTTTGTGTTGGATACGTATAATCATGTATAGGTAGGTATCTGATTCTTATATTTTCATATACTGGACATATTAATAACACATGGAATTTATCTTCTTTGTAATAAATGCAGCAAGGACACATCAGTGTTAAAATATCACTATCTTTGGAATGTTAAGGGTATGTATACCGCATATGAACTAATCTTCATTAAACATCTGCGTAAACATATAGGTTGAATAGTTGTAAAAAACATCTCTGGTATCATTTCATCTTAGGCAGGGAATAGGCATGTAGCGATTTGGAACGTCTTATATCAGCTGACAACTTTCTGTTGCACATCTTTACATTGTTGCTTAAGTATTTCAGGAACATATTTTTTTCCAACATCCTGGAATAACCACGCATATGCAAGTCCATGGGGAAAGGAGTTTCCTTTACAGCTGCGGCCCAGATTATATCGCCAGGGTTATCAGGTCGTTCAAGTATGTAATAGCATCGTTTAGAGTATCTTGTATCTATAGTTGTCTAAGCAAACGCACCTGGTATATGAGGCATTTCTGCATTGATAGTTTTCATGCTTCTGCTTAAACAGACTTATTTGGTGACGGGTAGACTACGACAAAATAAATACGTAGAAATTCGTATGGATTTTCTCGATACTGTGGCGATATAAGGTTAACCGAAGTTCCGAGCCGTAGATCAATATTAAACTTAAACAGTGATTCAAAAGGTATATTTCTACATTTACTAATAAACTGCTGAGCTGAATACATCGCTTCATCTGCTTGTCTTGAAAACACTTCACATGCTTTTGTAAATAAGTGTAACCAATATATTTATGGTATGATACTACGTCAAGTGCTTCTGGGCCGAAGAACCAATTTTCATGTTTAAATATCTATCCACCTTTCTGAAAAAGAACTTTGTTGTGATAGTATTTAGAGATTCCCCTTGACTTAGCACACTATTGATATACACTATCTATCTTTTTCTGTAAATTTCATAAAAGAAATATTTGGAAATAATGGAACATCATCAGCAAATAGTAAAATCGATAATGACTGTACAGCTTCGTCAACAAAACTATCACTACAATCAGTGTTCACGATATCATTCGCAAGTTCATCAATGTACGATATGAAAAGAAGTGGTGGTAGTATACCTCCCTGTCTTACACCTGCATTTGTATTGAAAACATCAGTCATGCCATTTTTATTACATCTTACAGCTGCTTTTCGTTTTCCATATGTATTTCTTAGAAGTGTACTTTTCTTACCATCTATAAGATTATTTCGATCCACTATGTCAAATGCATTTTTGAAGTCAACAAATATTCAGTTAAATTGTCCACCCTTCTTTCTGATACCTTTATGTGTTAAGTAGATATGCTTTATATATAAAGTTGTCACCCACTGTCGTATTTACCCATGACACGATCTAGTGATCACTCTGCTCTTCGGCTCTTTCCGAGACCGCTTGGTAAAGTCCGGCGGTCGGCATTGTACAGTGTGAGAACATTCTGTGTTAGAGAATTAGTGGCCCGACTATTTAATTCTCTTGTGAGCTAATGGCACTCTCAAACCATGTATTGACTTGATGTATGTTATATCTTATATGGTTGCCACCTTGATCATGTATTGAAAATGTTATTGTAACTGAGTTTCAAACATTACGGTAATTTATATGTACATTCAGATATTTCAAATGTATTTATTATCATTTTTGCCTCATCAATAATTGTACATAGACTGTTGTATATCTTTAATGATACTGTTGGATAGCTTATGTTCAACGCTTCATTTTGATACTTACATTTTCAGTATAGATATAGTAGTTAGTTTACTATTCGTGTTTTCCCGTATTCCCCGGCGGTCCAGGAGAGATTGACCAGGCTGGCGTCCGCGCGCTGTATATTAAGACCTTTTTTTTGGATCTGGAGTCTTTAGTTTGCCAGCACCGTACCCATGCTCCTTAGTTTTACCAAAGTGAAAAAAACCATCTATGACCTGCATCACGTTAGGCATTCCTTCCACACAGCACTGACGCGCAGCGATATAATAATAAAAGCGACCAACCTGAAACGCCTTTCTATATTCATAAGACATGTCTGCCAAAGGCAGATACCGACTATATCATGAGTATGTGTTTATGAATCACTACAACATAGTGATGATACCAGGTGTTAGCGAAAACGTGAGCTTATTCTGCCCCACCGGTGACAACCATAACACACACACACACACACACACGCGCAAAGGCAAGTCAATTGTCCACCTGAAAAAAAATCACGGGAACGATGACATAAAAGTTGTAACCATCCGATCGGACGTCGGTTCTTAGGACATTTTCACAAGTGACCTATTCTGCCTCGGAATCCCAACGAGGATTTTACATGCGGAGACCTTTCTTCTGACGCCTCACAACCATCCGCACGCACGTGTATAGCGTATACCCCAGAAATATATGTGTGAGTATGTACCTGCAAGAGGACGCCTGTCGAAGGGATATACAAAATGTGTTGAGGGGTCCTTCATTGCAAACTGCGCAGATACACCAATGGAGCTCTCGCCGCTCACTTCAACTGAAACATGCCCTGCGGAGACATCCATAACCCAGGTTCCTGCCGCTGGGTTCTGTGGATATACAGGGGCATTCAAATCAGCTAAGTGTTTCAGTACGTAATGGTAGCATTTCTCTGTCTTGCAGAAAACAAAGGGAGCCTGAAATCCCAATTCTTGATGTCCAAGTAATGATATTATTAAGTTAAGTATGAGCATGGGTGTGATATTTCAGCAACAGTCTATTCTAAAGTTTCAGATTTAAATAAGCAATAGTTAACATTCTTATGAATATGTAGTCAACTAAAACAAAAACTACCCAATATTTTGAAGTGGAAATACAGTTATGCCCCCTTCACATATTTCTTACCACTACTTACGGATCGCACAAATTAACGGATCCTTACGATTTGGCCAATTTTAATACCGATTTAAGAGTTGTTACGAGTTATTACGAGCTATTTACGATTTATTACGGATTATTACGAGTTATTACGATGTATTTACGGCAAATGTCCACGATTTGGTACGGATAACTACGAGCAACTTACGGGCTTTTAACGAGCTTTTTACGATTGTTAGGGGTATATTACGGAATGTTACTATTCATCGAAGCTTTTACGTGTTAGTTACGACCTGTGTACGTGTTGTTACAAATAGTTACGAGTTAGTTACGAGTATTTACGAGTCCGTTTCGAAGGGCAGGAGACTTCTAGTTGACAACCTTCTTCTTTGGAGCCATGCTTGTAGATATTGTAGAGTAGATATGCAGAGATGTGACTTCTATGACCTTAATAACAACTGAAAAGGAAGTGTTCGATTTTGCAGCTTTTATACCTTTCCCCAAATCGTAAACAATACGTAAGAATACGTAAAGTATACGTATCTATTCGTAAAGTACTCGTAACTACACGCAAAGTGCTAGTAATAACTCGAAACAATCCGTAAAGCCATCGTAACACGACCCGAATGAAATCGTAAACAACACGTAAACACTCGTAATAATCCGTAAACAAATCGTTAACTAACCGTAACAAATCGTAAGTTGTCCGTCGCGGCGTTTAATCCCCGAAACCCTTCGGATTAACGTAATTACATCACCAACAGCAGACACTGATAATAATGGCAGAAGAAACATACCTGGACCTGCACCAGCTTTATCCCACTCTGGAGGTAGCTCGAGTCTCCGCTTGGGGAACCTGTAATGATATAGCAACCTAGTAGCGAACACCAACCGGAGTGCTGGGGCAAGTGATGGAAGCAATGAGAAAATTTGAGAGCGAGACCGAAAGCGAGCGTTACCTTGGGGAGATGTCAGTGTAACAGTTGGCTCCGACCAATATCTGTTTGATGTGACTTTAACTGTCAGTGCTGCGATGGTGTCGTCAACCTTAAACCTGACCGTGGAGGACGTTATCAGCTGTTCGTTACGATGTATGATAGCTCTTGATACTGCAGTCGACTCCTGAATACAACACAAGATTCCATTAGTGAGGCATCTCATGAACCCATACCAACGTCACCGCATCTGTTCACCTGTGTGCCTGCCGAGAGCGGCGAATACACATTGACTATTCCATTGAAATGGAATTCTCTTTTCAATATAATGACACCTGATTTATTCACTTAATACTATTTATTGGCATCTACAATTGTACCTCCAATAGCTTCAGGGCTGGAGGGTAGTAGGTTGTGGTGTCCCGACGAATTTCATAAAACCCGCCGCCAGTTGACCTAGCCAGACGGGGGAACATCACCCGGCCGGACGTCGCCCTCCTGAACCTGGTCAAGCGGGAGGTACCTGATGACGATACACATCAACATTTCGCTCAACATAACCAATCTTAGCTACATTTAACTGCGCAATGTAAGGACACCATGAAAGGTATTTAATATCTTCTTCAACTTTCACAGTTCAGAATTCTGCATTCTGATTGATCCCCTAGCGGTATGGAATCTACACTATCGCCACGAACCGAGCTATGTCTTTAGCCTGCCACTAGATACATGCAGTTTCAAATAGTGATGTCACTTATGATAGGTTTTGGGGACTAGATTACATATATAGTGAGCAAGTCTGACATATTTTGGATATATATATATATAAACCCGAACGACACTTACTACTATCGTAAAAGTTTCAATTTCACTAAAATCAGATCATAGTTCTCACAACCGCTAAACGGAAGCGAGAACAAAAATATGATTTTAATGAAATTAAACGATGCCACATCACTTATCACTTCCCCTACATAAAAGAGATACATGGAAATTCGTATAGACGCACTTACATGCACATAAACAGAACATAAGTGTCATCTGAAGCGAGGAACATAAACTGAATACAGTGTTACAGTTATCCGCAATATCGCAACACATCGTTACACCACCCTGGCAAACCACACTTGTGTTATCGTTCTCCACGATACCACAACAATATCGCAACACATCGTTACACCACCCTGGCATACCACACCAGTGTATTGTTAAGCCATCTGGACGGCATTGTTGACGTCATTCGAATCTCCCTGTGACGTAAGGTCTGAATAACGGCACACTAGAAGCGATGTGACAGCTAAAGATTGTTGACGTCAATCGACAGTTGTGGTTTTTATATTTTATGCATTAAAAGTAATGTGTATAAAGATTGAATATTCACTGTTGTAATGGCCATTTGCAGCTGCGCATACTGTTCCCATACAGAGCACAACGTTTTGCATATGAACACATATGTATACCTTTGATCAGTGCTCTGGTGTAGATTCGCTGACGGCAGGTATCACTGTAGGTGGCCCTCATGCCGCGGACAATCTGGGCCGCCCTCCTGGCAGTGTCCGTTTGGCGCAGTTGCGACATGCCATAGTTTGCTTCACAAAACAAGCTGTTTTACACAGTTACCATGATGGCTCAGCTTTGTACATGCTTTAACACTGTACACCCATATCAACAGACTGTGACACACCGTACACCCACACAACAGACTGTAACACACCGTACAACCATATGAACAGACTGTAACACACCGTACACCCACACAACAGACTGTAACACACCGTACACCCGTACAACAGACTGTAACACACCGTACACCCAGACAACAGACTGTAACACACGGTACACCCAAACAACAGACTGTGACACACCGTACACCCACACAGCAGAAAGTAACACACCATACACACATATGAACAGACTGTGACACACCGTACACCCACACAACAGATTGTAACACACGGTACACCCAAACAACAGACGGTGACTTACCGTACACCCACAAAACAGACGGTGACCCAACGTAAACTCACATAGCAGACTGTAACACACCGTACACCAACACAACAGACTGTAACACACCGTACACCCACACAACAGACTGTAACACATCGTACGACCATATGAACAGACTGTGACACATCGTACACCCACACAACAGACTGTAACACACCGTACACCCACACAACAGACTGTAACATACCGTACACTCACACAACTGACTGTGACACACCACACACTCATACAACAGACTGTAACACAACCTACACTCACACAACTTACTGTAACACACCGAACACTCACACAACAGAATGTGCAACACCGTTCAACCACACAACAGACTGTGACACACCGTACGCCCAGACAAATGACTGTGACACACCGTACACTCACACAACAGACTGTGACACACCGTACACCGAAACGACTGACTGTGTCACACCGTACACCCACACAACTAACTGTAACACACCGTACACTCAAACAACTGACTGTGACACATCGTACACTCACACAACAGACTGTAACACACCGTACACCCAAACAACTGACTGTATCACACAGTACACCCACACAACTGTCTGTGACACACAGTACATCCACACAACTGACTGTAACACACAGCACATCCGCACAACAGACTGTGACACACCGTACACCCACAAAACTGACTGTAACACATCGTACACCAACACAATTTACTGTGACACACCGTGCACCCAAACAACTGACTGAGACACACCGTACACTCACACAACAGACTGTAACGCACCGTACACCAACACAACAGACTGTAACACACCGTACACCAACAAACCGGACTGTGACACACCGTACACCCACATAACTGACTGTAACACACCGTACACCAACACAACAGACTGTAACACACCGTACACCCACAAAACAGACTGTAACACACCGTACACCCATGTGAACAGACTGTAACACACCGTACACTCACACAACAGACTGTAACACACCGTACACCCACACAACTGACTGTGACACACCGTACACCCAAACAACTGACTGTGACACACCGTACACTCACACAACTGACTGTAACACACAGCACATCAACACAACTGACTGTGACACACCGTACACCCAAACAACTGACTGTGACACACCGTACACCCACACAACTGACTGTAACACACCGTACACTCACACAACAGACTGTAACACACCGTACACCCATGTGAACAGACTGTAACACACCGTACACTCACACAACAGACTGTAACACACCGTACACCCACACAACTGACTGTGACACACCGTACACCCAAACAACTGACTGTGACACACCGTACACTCACACAACTGACTGTAACACACCGTACATCAACACAACAGACTGTGACACACCGTACACCCAAACAACTGACTGTAACACACAGCACATCAACACAACTGACTGTGACACACCGTACACTCACACAACTGACTGTAACACACAGCACATCAACACAACAGACTGTGACACACCGTACACTCACACAACTGACTGTAACACACAGCACATCAACACAACAGACTGTAACACACCGTACACCCACACAACTGACTGTGACACACCGTACACCCAAAAAACTGACTGTGACACACCGTACACCCACACAACTGACTATAACACACCGTACACTCACACAACTGACTGTAACACACAGCACATCAACACAACAGACTGTGACACACCGTACACCCAAACAACTGACTGTAACACACTGTACACCCAAACAACTGACTGTGACACACCGTACACCCACACAACTGACTATAACACACCGTTCACCCACACAACAGACTGTAACACACAGCACATCCACACAACAGACTGTGACACACCGTACACGCACACAACTGACTGTAACACACCGTACACTCACACAACTGACTGTGACACATCGTACACTCACACAACAGACTGTGACACATCGTACACTCCCACAACAGACTGTGACACACAGCACATACACACAACAGACTGTGACACACCGTACACGCACACAACTGACTGTGACACACCGTGCACTCACACCACAGACTGTATCAAACAGTACACGCACACAACTGACTGTGACACACCGTACACCCACACAACAAACTGTGACACACCGTACACCCACACAACTGGCTGTGACACACCGTACATCCATATCAACAGACTGTGACACACCGTACACCCAAACAACTGACTGTGACACACCGTACACTCACACAACAGACTGTAACACACCGTACACCCACACAACTGACTGTTACACACCATACACACAAACAACTGACTGTGACACACCGTTCACCAACACAACTGACTGTAACACACCGTACACCCACACAACTGGCTGTGACACACCGTACACCCACACAACTGACTGTGACACACCGTACACCCACACAACAGACTGTGACACACCGTACACCAACACAACTGACTGTGACACACCGTACACCCACACAACTGACTGTGACATACCGTACACCCACACAACAGACTGTGACACACCCTACACTCACACAACTTACTGTATCACACCGTACACTCACACAACTGACTGTAACACACCAAAGACTCACATAACTGACTGTAACAAACCGTACACCCACACAACTGACTGTATCACACAGTACACCCACATAACTGACTGTGACACACCGTACACCCAAACAACAGGCTGTGACACACCGTACACCCACACAACAGGCTGTAACACATCCTACACTCACACAACTGACTCTGACACACCGTACACCCACACGACAGGCTGTGACACACCGTACACCCACACAACAGGCTGTAACACACCGTACACTCACACAACTGACTCTGACACACCGTACACCCACACAACTGACTGTATCACACAGAACACCCACACAACAGACTGTGACACACCGTACACCCACACAACAGACTGTAACACACCGTACACCCACACCACAGACTGTATCAAACAGTACACGCACGCAACTGACTGTGACACACCGTACACCCAAACAACTGACTGTGACACACCGTACACCCACACAACAGGCTGTTACACACCGTACACCCACACAACAGGCTGTGACACACCGTACACCCACACAACAGGCTGTGACACACCCTACACCCATATCAACAGACTGTGACACATCGTACTCCCACATAACAGACTGTGACACACCGTATACTCACACAACAGACTGTAACACACCGTACACTCACACAACTGACTGTAACACAACGTACACCAACACAACTGACTGTGACACACCGTTCACCAACACAACTGACTGTAACACAACGTACACCAACACAACAGACTGTAACCAACCGTACACCAACACCACAGACTGTATCACACAGTACACCCACATAACAGGCTGTGACACACCGTACATCCATATCAACAGACTGTAACACACCGTACAACCATATGAACAGACTGTAACACACCGTACACCCACACAACAGACTGTAACACACCGTACACCCACACCACAGACTGTGACACACCGTACACCCACACAACAGGCTGTGACACACCGTTCACCCACACAACAGGCTGTGACACACCGTACACCCATATCAACAGACTGTAACACACCGTACACCCACACCACAGACTGTAACACACCGTACACCCACACAACAGACTGTAACACACCGTATACTCACACAACAGACTGTTACACACTGTACACCCATACAACTGACTGTGACACACCGAACATCAACACAACAGGCTGTAACTCATCGAACATCCATATAAACAGACTGTGGCACACCGTACTCCCACCCAACAGACTGACACACCGTATACCTGTGTCAACAAGGAACGACAAATGTACACTCGTGACAACAGACAACGATACGCTGTACACCCACGCCAAGCATTATCAAATGCTGTATTAGGACGTTAGAGATTTTAATACATACATCTGAAAGTGGCTATGAGAAAGTTGGACGCGTTGCCTAGTTCTGCAGACGAAGATACCAAGTTGGTACCAACCCAGGATTGTATGTGCGATAGTTCGTTACGCATTGAGGAAGGTGTCTATAACAACGAGGAAAGGGTCTCTCAGCTTCAGTTGTAACAGTTGCTGGTACTTGGAATCTTCTATGGCAGCACGGATACCATGTTCTAAAACAGAAAGGAAATATAAATACATAACATAAATACGTGTGTGCATCTCATAAAAGAAATTGTTTGTAAAATAGTTCATACACGTTTTGTAAAATGTAAATTTAGCTAGTAATTAATTGACAACCAACATTTAATTTGTTAATTTACAGTGGAGGAAATGTTCATGGCTATCATTATCATCATCAGAAAAAAAGCTTAAATTCAGGAGAATCTGAAATTTTTATCTGTTGAAAAAAAGAAAGAAATAGTACTTTTTGGTGAACGAATAGTTAAGGGATAATTATTAGTGGCATATATCAAATTAACTTTCTTAATAATTTGACCAAGGTCCTCAGCCATTCAAGCATCTATGAAAACATATACATGTTTTGTTTCTATTGATGAATTATAGAATAAGTCACGGTACCAATGTCGTGAAAGAAGTACGCCGTATGTTCTATGGCTGCCTCCGACGCTGCCTGGTGTAGCTTGTGGTGGGGGGATAGTGACGGCAGGGCGGAGTCTTTGTTTATCCCCCCAAGGGCAGCCGAGGTCAGGCCGCTCACGTCATATGGACCACCATGGCTGCATTTACCTAGATGTGTTGTGGAGGAATCTCCTGGGGAACAGAGACGACATATTTCACACAGACTAAGTAACTACTACTACTACTACTACTACTACTACTTCTACTACTACTACTACTACTACTACTACTACTACTACTACTACTACTTCTACTACTACTACTACTACTACTACTACTACCACTATTACTACTGCTACTACTACTACTACTACTACCGCTACTACTATTACTACCAACAACAATCCATGTATCACTTAAATGTACATTGAAACAAAACATGGCAATCATTCCACGCACGTCAATATGATGTTAAACTTTAATGTGTTTCTATGTCATAGCCTCTTAATAGAGATAACCTCAAAAAACAAGATTTGAAGATAGTAACTCTCAATTTAATTCATTTTGAAAGTAATATAACGGTTGACATCCGCGATAATCCAGTGTATGAAATGTTCATTTTTTTATAAATACCCTGGACCAGGATTTGATTTACACGACACGACAAATAGCCACTCCATCAGATCACACTCACGAGCGAGAGACCTTCTAAGCTACATTACGCCGTACTGATAAGGGAGATAATTGCGATTAAGACGTCACTTCCGGGATAAAGAAAAGGTGGCAACTGCTTCCAGGGTTTGAACCAAACAAACAAGTAATCAACAGCATGAACAACGATCATGCCAGCTGGGTAGAGCGACATGCTGCTCACACAATGTACCCCCCACACCCCACACCCCGACCCAACCCTCTTCCCGCACCCCACCCCACCCCACCTGGTACTCATTCAATCGTCTACTACTACAGGTATGGGTGATATAAAACGAAATAAGGAGAAGTAATTATTTGACTGTCCGTACTGAACGGCTTCAGCTTGTCCTGTCCACTTCTGTATCCACTGGTCAGCACAACGTCATCAGTGGTCAGTATGATATTGGATTCACACGATGTACCAACATTAGGACTTAAAAACAAACAAGAGGATGTTTTATTGACACGTATCTTTATCATTTTAATCTCGTGTCGATTTATTTTGATTGCGAAAAGAATAAAATAGTGCGTGAGTAAAGTTTCATATTGCTTTTTGAGCCCGAACAGTAAAATCATATGACCTAATTATATTCTGTCATTGCGTAAATCACGAGGCATTCATTGAAACTTATATCTGATGCGTAAAGTCGAAGCTGATGAAGATTTGCCACGTCCCATAATCGTACGTCAACTTACCCACATGAGCGACAAGTATCCATTTCAGGTGGCGCTTGGGCGTACAGTACTTTGCCTCTAATACCTGGTGACACTTACATGTTATTGTTAGACTGTAAGTTAATCGTTGCATTGCTCAATAACAGCTGGTTTAAACACCATATATGAAGATCAATCAAGTGACTGGTTGTATGGTTTTGAAATAGCCTACATTGGACAAAAGTCATCTTCAAGGCAGATGTTTACTATAATTAAGTAAAATTGATTATCTAAACTTATTTTAAACTGTTTTCTCACCAAGGGAAAAGTAGGGCGTTGCTCCTTTTATTTCAACCCAGTTCGTGTTACTGTAAAACATTTGTAGTATATGCAAGTATTGACCAATCAACTCTCTTGCCAAGTCATAGTTTGGATTAGCAAACTGTAGAACTTTTATCACATCCTCGCGAAGCTGAATCATCAGGTTGTGGGCTGAAAGATAAAAACAAAAACAAGTATGAAAGTAGGCATACCTTTCAATTTCAAGAACAAGATTAAACATTCTTGATGCGTTAGGGGCCATCCATTTGATATTCGAAAAACTTTTCTCCCCGAAAATCCTTGAAAAAATACTTATACTTCATACTGTTAAAGCAAAAAAGAAATTGTCTGCCACAAATATTACATCGTTGCAAGGTTTTCTTTTAGTATATTTTGGCTGATTTTTATAATTAAACAAAATATCTGGTTAAAACCTCATAGCAATCTTAAAGCTCTCTTAGTTATTTTTGGCCAATGTTCCTGGTGTCCAAAAGAGGGATATAAGTTATATTCGCGATATCCACCAACTGTACCCGCTCTGATGTCCTCTCCACTACAATGCCAGGCCGCTGTATGGGGGTGATCCAGGTCCACCCTGTTATTGGCGTGTACTATTGTCCTGATCACTGCTCGCAGTCTCGGCGCCGAGCTGGCCTCTACAAGTACATGTGTATATGAACTTGAAGCATCACCTGGTGACCTCAATACAGATATGGACTTGATGCATCACCTGGTGTTCTCTACAGGCATATATGGATTTGATGCATCACCTGGTGACCTCTATAAATATATGGACTTGATGCATCATCTGGTGATCTCTAGAGGCATATATTGATTTGATGCATCACCTGGTGATCTCTACAGGTATATATGGATTTGATGCACCACCTGGTGATCTCTACATACATACATACATACATACATACATACATACATACATACATACATACATACATACATACATACATATATATGGACTTGATGCATCGCGTGATTACCTCTATAATTATATGGACTGGCAGCATCACCTTGATTACTCTGATCAGAATACGCTGTTTTATTTTTTAACCACAGCCATGTCTTACCAGAGATTCATTGCTATGGGTGGGTCTGTCCTACAGATACAAGGGTTAACCTAGAATGTTACATCAATAGTATATCCATCCCAGGTCTATCCATATTCTATCCATATATTATATTGAGTTATTAAACAAATGACACATTAAAAGAGAAATCAACCTTTGGATGACCATATCATTATCGCTTGGTAACGCATTGTCAGTTTATGTGACATACTGCTTGAAACACGTTGATAGTTCACGTTTATAAAGGAATATTGGACCTGAGTTTGCGGACGTACGTTTTCCTAAATACTTTTACAGAATTTGATCAGCTGATCAGCTGCACTGCTTGTGTCGGTAAATGTATGTCTTTCAATAATTAGGTCACAGTGGTATATTCAGACTTACCTTACATTCGTATGAAGAAATATTTTGTTTGTGTTTAACCTTTACTCACAAAGGTAACTAGTTACCCACAGTATTTACACGAGTACTGTAACCTGTGTCGTGTGCATGTTTCTGTACATGATGAACTTAGGCACAAGAAGGTCGCGCAACTTGTAAGGGCTGATAATCACATACTTACCACCATAGAATTGACGAAACAAGTAACTGGCAGTCAGGTTCGATCTGCGTGATAACGCTCTCTCAGAGAATACGGTGTTATTGGCCTCAAAATAGGCTGCCACAGCTCTGAGGACACCCTGCTCAGTAAGGTCGTCGTGAGTCCACGTGTTGTCGCCAGTCTGTTGGGGAAGAATGCTTCTACTCCTAGCATATAGAGAAGGAACAACAGGTAATATATAGAAGACATGCTGCCCTCAATGTGAGACTGTACAGCGGGTAGGGATGCTGTTGTGGGTTATATGTTAGTGTTGCGCAATGAACGCCTTCTCTGCAGGTCCGGTACCATGAACTGTGTCTGTAATTAGGTAAATATAATGCGTTGGTTTAATCCGATATGTCGCATCACCTTACACGGTGTGTTGAAATGTGTTGAAATATGTGTCTGTCTCAATTCCCCAGGGAATAATTAAGTAATCCTCTTATTCGTATAATGTTAACTTGCAAACATGTACACTGAAACCGAACTCATCTCGATATATATAATCAAGACAACATACACATGCAGCTGTATTGTTGATAATGCGAATGTAGACACTAAGGTCGTATATCATCACTCCGCTTGTCTGGAACTATGGACAACTCGATATCCTGCGAAGGATCAGCTACTCCTGCTGCAAAGCTGCTCTATATGTCAAGGTATCTTTTATGTTACAGTAGGACTGAAGTTAGTAAACAACATTTGACATTTGACAAATATTTGGGAAGTAACTCAAATTCATATTTGGATATATCTCTTATAGGAATATGAGAATTGTTGACTACTTGCTCGTGACAAATCAAGTATTCTTTTTTCTAACCCTATAGCAAGCAGGATGAGCGGGCGTTTGCAAATGTACAGAACACATAAGCAGTAAGATAAAAAAAAAATACAAAGGATGCGAATAGCTACAATGACCATTGCTATGTCTAGATTTGGGCTTGTCACCAGACCACATTACAACAAACAGACCAGACGAAAAACAGTAAACAGAAGAAGAAATTTATTTCATAAATAAATCGTAGCAAATGTAAAGAATAAGTTGACTGAATGGTAAATACAACATATATGCAGTATATCCGCACTGAGGTACTATTGACTTATTGATTGCACATTATGTGATAGTAAAGGCGTCATCTAATGCTCCGGCATAGCCAGGTCATTAAGGCATATAGTTGGCTGGTACAATGGGATCGGCATATGCACAGCGGGTCTCTATGGCCAAGTTGTAGGAGTTTCCTTGACCGCTCTTGAAGGCACTGGTCACGAGTTGAAACCAGCCACTCTCCCCCTGCAACAATGTTACATTTTACCTTGACATCATCATACTCAACTAATTATCTAACAAAGTGAAATAGCCATATTATCAAGTTTCAGGGGAAGAGTGAATTTTGGAATTTCACAATTGAATTCAATCATTTTAAATTTAACTGCAGCCCAAAATAACCAAATACCAAACGTTCGCAAATTAGATTCTTGAAAACAGGACTCGATGGACGCACACATCAGCGTCCGAAACTGATTCTGCCCACCGTGTACTCACCGCAGCTACCCATTTCCACATTTGAAGATTGAGCATATGTATCTAGATACGAGTAAGTAAATGGCACATTCAGTTAAGTATCAGGAATCAGGAATAGCGGATCCAGATAGCATTTGTAGTAATTCGCTGTGAATATTCACGTTGTAACGAGTATCTGTATTGCTGATTTAATTACATGGTTAAAGGTTCACGATTTGTGCAGCGATGTACATAAAGAACGGCCTGACATCCTGGGAGACGCCATGACGTCACAGCTAGTGACACCTAACACTGTCCAATAAATAGACGACGCAACAAGAGATCTATATTTTGTCACTCAAGGCGGGATGCATTTTATGTTGTAGAAGGATCACTTGGGGAACATGGGGTATTATGCGTCCCGCGTTAAGTTTTTGACATGTTTCACTTTAACATTGTAAAAGAATTAATACAAAATCAAAATTGATAGGCAACAGCTGTGCGATTGTCCCATAACAAATAATGTCAATTTCAATAATTAATTTCTGTAACAAACTAAATAACATCTATGATCAATGTGCAGTTTGATCGTTTTTTAAAATGTAATTTAGATACATCCCGTTTGCAGATTATGGTGTATATCAAACTGCTCTATTAGGTCGAGTCATACTGCTCGTGCCCATTCGACACCACTCGCCCCTTTCCGTAATGTGTCGCGGAATGGGACGAATGTTGCCGATTGTGCCAGTACCCACCCAGGGCTGTCCCCAGGAGTTCCGGACGATCCAGTACTCGGTGCCAGTCGCGTTCACTCCCCACCCGACAACCGAGATGACGTGGTTGATCTGGAACACAAGGTGACTGATGAATGACATCACTGAATAAAATGGCAATGAGAATATAATAATACTGTTTGTAAAAAGTCATATAGACATCATGTTTCTGACAGGTGAGGTGAAATGGGGTTTAACGTGGAGTTCAAGACTGTTGCACTTATATAGCGACGTACATGACTCCGAGACGACCAATCCTTGTTTTAGCCCCTTAATGTTGAACGCCAGGCAAGGTAACAACAAGTTCCATCTTTTAACCTTTTTTGGGTATGACGCGGCCGGGTATCGAACCTCAACCTTCCGCTCTCCGGGCAGACGCTCTATCCACTAGACCACGGAGGCGGTCTGTTTCTGACAGTACAAGTGGTGACATAAGTGATCCCCTCATACGTTATCAAATACAGCAAGAAACAGACCCAGGGAGGTCAGTCGAGCGAGTGATTGTCTGTTGTCGCTGTCGACAAGATCACCTTTTAGTATATAGGATAATGGACTGAATCAGACAAACCAATGTCACATGTAAAGTCTTCAATGCCAGTAAGTACTTTCGGGGTTCGATTCTAACAAGGTTAGCCTATTCCGGTGTCGCCCCAGACGATGGGCCAAAAGGCCTCATCTTCCAACTTACCGATGGTGTAGCTTTATATTCTGCATACACCCCGCCACGGTACTTCTCCAGGCCCGGAGTTGCTTCTATACCACAACTGGCAGAACAAAGTACAAAGATACTGACGTAATTATTATGAATTAAAATATTTTATATATATATTTATGTGAATATACTGATAAGCTTAGATGCTTACATCGTTATCAAATTACCATTTACACAATATATCTCAAAATGACGTCAGAACAAAGTTCAAAGATACTAACGTAGTTATAAATGAGTTATATATATGTGAATATACTGATTAACCTAGATCCTTACACCGTTATCAAATTACCAGTTATACAAAAATCTCACATTGACGTCAGAACAAGAAAGTTATAGGTTGTCTTCATATTTTGTAATGGGTCGGAAAACCATTACCTGTGTTTCAAATGATATACATGTATTTGAGTAAATAACTAATTAAACATGTGAACAGCTGGATTGCGGAAAGGCAGAAAGATGTCACGAGAGAACGACTGGATGAACGAAATAATGACCGCAAAAAAGACCTGATTGGTCCGTTGGTGTATATCTCTGCCATCATGTCCTCCCTGCCCTTGACGTAGCCATAGTCCCCCACCTTCCACAGGGTGAAGTTGTTCAGCTGCTTGCACTCGCCGAACGTTGTGCACGTGCCACATGAGTTGAAGGGGTCGCAATCTTTGGATAAAGTCAACACACTGTGCTTTAGGTTAAATAGCTCAAAGAAGTACCATGCATCACATTCAGTTGACAATGTCCAGTGTCGGTCCATACATTGTAATTATGACCGTGTGTCAAACTCACATTGTCGCTGTGTATAGAGAACAATTTAGACTTATACACGTGCATTTTTAGACGTATCGGTCAATGTACATACTGTTTTAGACGTATCGGTCAATGTACATACTGTTTTAGATGTACCTGTCATTGTACACACTGTTTTAGACGTATCGGTCCATGTACATATTGTTTAGACGTACCGTTCAATGTACATACTGTTTTAGACGTATCTGTCATTGTACATACTGTTTTAGACGTACCGGTTAATGTAAATACTATTTTAGACGTACCGGTCAATGGTCATATTGTTTGAGACGTACTGGTCAATGCACATATTGTTTTAGACGTACCGGTCAATGTTCATATTGTTTTAGACGTACCGGTCAATGAACATACTATTTTAGACGTACCAGTTAATGTACATGTTGTTTGAGACGTACCGGTCAATGTACATATTGTTTTTAGACGTACCGGTCAATGTACATGTTGTTTTAGACGTACCGGTCAATGTACATACTGTTTTAGATGTATCGGTCAATGTACATACTGTTTTAGACGTACCCGTTAATGTAATACTGTTTTAGACGTATCGGTCATTGTACATACTATTTTAGACGTACCGGTCAATGTACATACTGTTATAGACGTATCGGTCAATGTACATAATGTTATAGACGTACCGGTCAATGTACATACTGTTATAGACGTATCGGTCAATGTACATACTGTTATAGACGTATCGGTCAATGTACATACTGTTATAGACGTATCGGTCAATGTACATACTGTTATAGACGTATCGGTCAATGTACATAATGTTATAGACGTACCGGTCAATGTACATACTGTTATAGACGTATCGGTCAATGTACATACTGTTATAGACGTATCGGTCAATGTACATACTGGTATAGACGTATCGGTCAATGTACATACTGTTATAGACGTATCGGTCAATGTACATAATGTTATAGACGTACCGGTCAATGTACATACTGTTATAGACGTATCGGTCAATGTACATACTGTTATAGACGTATCGGTCAATGTACATACTGTTATAGACGTACCGGTCAATGTACATAATGTTATAGACGTACCGGTCAATGTACATACTGTTATAGACGTACCGGTCAATGTACATAATGTTATAGACGTACCGGTCAATGTACATAATGTTTTAGACGTACCGGTCAATGTACATACTGTTATAGACGTATCGGTCAATGTACATACTGTTATAGACGTACCGGTCAATGTACATAATGTTATAGACGTACCGGTCAATGTACATACTGTTATAGACGTACCGGTCAATGTACATACTGTTATAGACGTACCGGTCAATGTACATAATGTTATAGACGTATCGGTCAATGTATATAATGTACTCTTTCGTCGTTTCACACCGATGAGGGCATGGGTATAAAGTAACATTACTCGTACTCGTATTTCCCTTTTCCAAATAATTAAGAAACTGAAATCGAAATAAAATATTCACAAAAACATTCATTAAAAAATCTTACAATAGAAACAAGAGCGGAACAGTTAATTTAATAAACTGTAAATGATCAAATCAGAGTAGGGGTGAATGACTTGAATAAAATGTCTGACTGAGTGTCCAGACTCTCTCTCTATTGTGGGAATCCCAGTTGCCGCAGTTGTATGCCACTCACGTGAAACCAAGTACATATCACTGTGTAGAACAGCCTCCCTCTATTGTTTGAATCTCAGTTGCCGCAGTTGTATGCCACTCAGGTGAAACCAAGTTCATATCACTGTGTAGAACATTCTCCCTCTATTGTGTGAATATCAGTTGCCGCAGTTGTATGCCACTCATGTGAAACCAAGTACATATCACTGTGTAGAACAGTCTCCCTCTATTGTGGGAATCTCAGTTGCCGCAGTTGTATGCCACTCATGTGAAACCAAGTACATATCACTGTGTAGAACATTCTCCCTCTATTGTACATATCACTGTGTAGAACAGTCTTCCTCTATTGTGGGAATCTCAGTTGCCGCAGTTGTATGCCACTCAGGTGAAACCAAGTACATACCACTTTATCTCGCTTTAATTAAAACTCCAGCTTCTGATGAGTTAAGAGTGGGCGAGAAATCAATCGTAACACACCTTAGGTTACTTGCTTACCTCGCATAAGCATCGTTGAGCTGAAATGAACTGATGTTTATCCGAATGCATTCAATTTGGTAAAGGGAAGTAACTCTGTTCGTTTGCGTCGTCTGCTAGCTGTCAAAATGTCTGAAAGCGTTTTACTCAGATAAACTCAGGACATATGTTGCGGGTCTGTATGAATGAATGTCGGCTCACACACAGAGTACACCACACAATGCACCCCTCGAGATCAGTTACTTTTAGTAATAATTATTTCGTCAACAAATCTACCGGATTGTTGATATTATCACGCGGTATCCATGTTAACCATTGATATTTCATTTCGTTTTTGATAAACATTAAGTAGTTCAATCTGTCGATCCACTATGAGTGATATTATAGCTGTCCTTATGTTCTCGAAACATGAACACCTAAACAACGTTTTGGGCAAGTATCAAACCTTTTACTGTTGTGCATCTGTCCGCGATATCTGTTGCTAATCCAGTCAGTAGGGGCGATGGGATAGCCTAGTGGTTAAAGCGTTGAAGACCCGGGTTCGATTCCACACATGTGTACAATGTGTGAAGCCCATTTCTGGTGTCCCCGTCGCGATGTTGCTGGAATACTGCTAAAAGCGGCGTAAAACCATACTCACTCACTCATTGTCAGTCACCAGTTGGTAAACGGGAATGTAGACTTTGTCTACTTATGTATCGATGTGTCAAGTGATGAACGGGTCTAGGTCATTCAATGATGGGTTTGTCCCAAAGGGTGTCTTTTTTCACGTGATTATCGTATGGAGCTGAAAATCCACTATTAACTCGTATTAGTATTAATTTCGGTCTCGTAGCCAATTCACCTTCCCTTTCCATTTCATGGTGAATGAGCATATTGCAGGTTTGTTCTTCGTTATTTGTATGCTTTGTCGTAAGAGGCGACAAGCAGGATCTGGTGGTCAGGCTCGCTGACTTGGTTGATGTTTTTCACTGTGTAGATGCTCATGATGTCAATCACTGGATTGCCTGGTGCAGACTCGATTATTTACAGACCGCCGACATGTAGCTGGAATAGTGCTGAGTGCGGCACAACAAACAAACACATATGCAAGCTTTAATGTCATGATTGAGAATATGTAAATATAACCGACTGGGAACATGCATCTCCACTCTCATTACTTCTCTGACACGGGGTAATAATGAAAAGACGCATGGGAAACCAGAATGTTCTATGGAATGTGATCGTGAATAAGTCTTCAGCAACGCATGCTTGTCGTAAGAGGCGACTAGCGGAATCGGGTGGTCAGGCTCACTGACTTGGTTGATGTAAGCCATCGTATCCTAGTTGCGTAGATCGATGCTCATGGTGTCAATCACTGGATTGGCTGGTCCAACCTCGATTAGTAAACAGACAGTCGTCATACAGCTGGAATATCGGAGTGCGGCGTTAAACAACACACAAACAAATGCATCGTATGGACACTTCGAAAAGTAAAGTACAATACGTCCGTCCCATCTCATACTACACCTTCTCACCTTGGTTTTTGGCTTGGTAGTTGTTGCAGGTCTCATCAGGGATACCGTGGCTGTGAGCGTACTCGTATACTTTGTAGTCGCTTCCTCCTTGACAGCTGCCGGCGTTGCCGCAGTCGATGATATGCTGGACAGACAGGTATGCGGACGGCCACGCCCCTCCCCTCTTAATGTTTATCCGGTCTGCGATAGAGCTGGTTGCACCCATAGCCCAGCAGGACCCACAGTCTGTGACAGAGTAATATTTAGAACAATCACGCGTGCCAGTAGATTTCTGCTACTGCTGGACCCGGATGGTTAAATCGCCCAAATAATTAATTATTCTAAACATGAAACTAGAGTTTCCGAGAGAGACGAAGTCAGTGCGTATAGAATTATAAAGACAATCGGCTTTGTCGGTGGGATAGCCTAGTGCCTCGTTCGTCACAGATTAGGGTTCGACACCCCCCGCATAAATTCTAGTCTTACTATGACTTAAATAAAAGGGGCACAACTCTCACTCGCTCGACAGACGTGACTTAAATGCCAATCGAAAGGCCATTATTACGACTTGATGGAGGACTTCGAATAGAAGTGTAGGGATGAATGACATGATTTATCTTGTAATTAATGTATCATTCAGAATGGAAACCTCACTGACAAGTGTAAATAATATTATTCAAAATGCAAAATCTAAAAAGATTTCTTGGTACCTCGACGAATTTCCTGAATAAAACCAACTGACCTGTGACAACCGCTAAGTATTCATAAGGAAGAAAATATTTTCTGGTTACAGCTTCTAAACATGCACTCCTTTTCTCTGATAGGACAATTATATTTTTTCAAAACACAATATTTTCAGGTCAGCCCATATCCAGCTAACCATTATGTAAAATCGGAGGCAAATATTTTGGTTTCCAGTATTCACTGGAAGAAATGATATTGTTCCTAGCAACAGTTTACAATTGGCCACACTTACACTGCGGAATGTGTTGGTTGCGAGTGGTACCACAGTAGTTAGTTCCGTTCACATTACGCCAATCCCAAGATTTCGGCACTGCTGTCAAAGGCTGCTCAAAGGCTCTTGGGTAGGTTCTGAAATGATGTGCATTAATCATATCGCGCAACGAATGTGTGGAGCTACGAAGAAATTAGAATGATGTCGTTAAATAATAAGACTGAAAACACTAAAACTGACCAGTTGACAAACACACACACACACACACACACACACACACACACACACACACACACACACGTACGCACGCACGCACGCACGCACGCACACAAAATGACATACACAATGAATATTCATAGTGCTAAGTAAAACCAGCGGGCAAAACGTAGATTGTTGATAGTCCCGAAAATAAAAAAATATGTGAGAAACATTAGCTTGCAGAAGGTTCCAGACAACATATTTTGGCCAGATATTGTAATTGATCACATGCTGTAGAGAACCAGGGGACGGTCTCCAAGGAAACACGGAAGGCTAAGGAGGAGGTTCATGAACACAGAACTTCATTGATATCTACATCTGTGCCACTGGATATGCGTGAAAAAATTTAAAACATTCTGAAATTCCGCAAATACATTCAGATGATGTACATTATTCAGTGTTTGGTTCATGGGTGAAATATCTCGAGGAAATAGGACTATGAAAAATACCTTGTCCCATAAACCATTCCCAACTATTCCAGATATATATTATTTAGCTAACTAATGTGCTAGATCTTCCACTGAACGCATGGTGTGTAGTCTCAATATGTCGCGTGATATGAACATATGAAGTGTAGTCTAATAGTTGATTTTCGTCGGTGTTGTACTCACTTGACCTCTGGCCTCCCCTCTCCCTCGGGTTGGAAGCAGTATGGCTTCCCATTATACTTATTGTCTCTGCCGTAAGCAACGGCAACTAACAATGAAAAAAACACGGCTTTGAGCAACATGATTGCGGATCGTTGTGTCGCGTTACGAGAATATCAACTGCCTGTCACATGATATATTTCATGTGACGTGGCTACAATCTGATATATCTGATAAACACCGGATGGTCATAGGACATGTGCGTGTATATTTATCTAGGTCAGCTGATAGCCGTGTTATCCTGTCATGAGGGGCTAATAAGTGAATGTTATTTTACGCCGTACTATTATTTTAAATATTTCACGGCGGCCTGTAAATATTTGAGTCTAGACCAGGGCCACTAGTGACGCAGAAAGCCTTATCACAGAAACTGATTCCCGATTCTGAATGTAGTCGGCTTTTACAACAAACATGATGTACTTGGACCTTTCCAACACTCAGTTTAAGGGGGATTTTTTTTGGAAAAAAGAATTCGTGACGGGGGTGCATTTAGCATGAAACATGCTAGATGAATGGAAACAAATTTGTTTTAGGAAGACGTGTTATTTTTGCTGCAAATATAACACAAAATTATATATATCACCAGGCCATATATATACGTTAAATATATAATTTAATGTATATATACAGTCTGGAGATATGCTTAACATGCTAACGTATAGATATACGTTAACATGTTGAGTTTGTGTAGATAACACAACGTATATATACGATCTGGAGATATGCTTAACATGCTAACGTATAGATATACGTTAACATGTTGAGTTTGTGTAGATAACAGGGAGGGAGTGAGGACCCCTGCAGCACCCAACCCCCCTGGAACTAGGGATGACGTACCTACCGTAGCTGTGATACGCTACTATGTCTACGGTGGATTCGTCTAAAATGTACTTTCATTGAACCAGTGCCTCGAGCAATGCCTTAATACGTAGTCGATCACCAAATGACCGTCAATACTGAGGTAAAATTCGTCTGTAAGGATAGATGAACGGATAGGAATTAAATTGATATCCTTGTACATTCATACCACCTTGTGTTGTGTAGACAAATCATGATATATATAGGAAATAGTGGATGTAACTGGCCGATTATGTTCAAAGTGACATTATCTGTATGCATCTGTATAGTCGCTATTGTAAGAATAGCTTATCAGACATGACACACATCTATGCTTGACACACTACTCACTCTACCCCTTTGAAGATTCCGGTGATGAATAGGTTCCCGCAATCACGTGTGTGTCACCATTGAAAGTGTTGAAGATCATGTGGTGACTGACAAGCAGAAATGTTGTCGATTATTGTATTGCATCAGCAGAAACATTCCCATTTTTAATAGATTTTGAGGTGCAGGAGTTTGACCCGATCTCGTCCGTTGTACACTGTGGCTTATCGTTAACGTTAGATTGTACAGCACAACTGTCTCCAGTTATAGATGATGACAAAGATGTACATGTAGATAAAGCTGTAAAAAGATGGGTTCCTGATAAAAGTGAAACATTTTTATGTAATATCGATAAGGTTGCCATTACCCATCAGTGTACAGAAATAGATGCATGTAAAGACCAAATAGAGCCAAATGACATTAACCAAATTGTAAATAAACTCTCTCAGACGCTGGTTACTGCGGCTGAAACTACTCTAGGTACTGTAAAAAATTCTAGACACTCTGTACATAAGCACAAACATAAACCCTGGTTTGATGAAAAATGTAAATCATGACGTAGATTTTACCACAAGCGTAAACGTATATATGGAAGGACTAAAGACAGTTATAGCAAAGCTATATACATTTCAGCAAGTAGAGCTTATAGTAAAACCCTAAAGAACGCATTTAAGACATATCAAAACAAATGTGTCCAACATCTGAGGGAATGTAAGGATGGTAACCCTAAGAATTTTTGGGAAATTTTAAAATCATTTGAACCAAAGAAAACAGCATAAAAAATCAGTATGGACAATTTTTTTGAATTTTTTAAAGATCTTAATCAAAGTTCTGATGATAATGACGAAGTTTTTGCCAATAACATAAATTCTGATAATCATGATGATATCTTAGGTTGTAGGATTACAGAAGAAGAAATTAAGTCAGCGGTCCGTGCACTGAAGAACAATAAGGTTTGTGGGTTGGATGGTATTTACAATGAGTACATTAAAAGCTCTATTCATGTTATGATGCCGGTTTACGTACGGCTTTTTAACCTCGTTTTTGACACTGGAGTTTTACCTGAAGCTTGGCTTGTTGGCAAAATAAAACCAATCTACAAAAACAAAGGAAACCAAGCTGACCCAGACAATTACAGAGGTATTTCTATCCTAAGCTGTTCAGGTAAATTGTTCACTACACTATTGAATAATCGTTTACAAGCTTACTCAGTTCAGCCTAATCTAATAAGCGAAGCGCAAGCAGAATCTAAAAAAAATTACTCAACAATTGACAATATGTTTATTCTTAAAGCTCTCATTGATATCTATAGAAATCTTAATAAGAAGTTGTATTGTGTTTTCGTCGATTTTAGCAAAGCTTTCGATACAGTATGGAGGTGTGGTCTGTGGACAAAAATGATAAAGTCTAATATCTAAGGAAAATGTTTTAATGTCATATATAATATGTATCAAAATATCAAATCTTGTGTTTCACATAATAACAAGGTGTCAGGTTTCTTCCCATGTCAAATTGGTGTAAGACAAGGTGAAAATTTGTCACCTTTCCTGTTTGCTTTGTACCTTAATGACCTTGAACAATTTTTATCTGAAAATGACTTTGAAGGACTGCATAATGTAAGTAACCTTTAAATAGATTCACTTGAACGGTACATAAAACTTTTTCTCATTTTGTATGCCGATGATACTGTTTTAATGGCCGAAAGCCCAGAGGATTTAAGAAAGTGTCTCACTATATTTGAAGAATATTGTACTATCTGGAAACTTAAAGTCAATGTTGACAAAACGAAAGTTGTTATTTTTGCCAAGCGCTCCACAAATAGAGTCTTCAATTTTATGTTAAATGGCTCGATTCTTCATGTTGTTAAAGAATATGTTTACCTTGGTATTTTATTTACAAACACTGGTAGATTTTGTAAGGCCCTAAAAAGACTGACAGATCAGGCATCTAGAGCAATGTACGCTGTATTTCGTAAAATTAGAATATTAGAAATTCCTATTGACTGTCAATTGAAATTGTTTCATCAACTTGTTCAGCCAGTACTGTTATATGTATCTGAGGTGTGGGTTTTTGAAAATGCTGTTGTCACTGAACGTGTACATCTTAAATTTTGTAAATATATTCTCAAGTTAAAACAGTCAACACCCGATTACATGGTATATGGTGAACTAGGGAGGTATCCTCTCAGCATTTTCATCAAGATAAGAATGATTTCATATTGGTGCAAGCTAACATCATCACAAACTAGCCTTTCTAGTATAGTATATAAACTTATGTTTCAAATGTCCATTGCAAATCCAGATTACCATTTCCCACTATTAAAAGAAGTAAACTGCATTCTTCAAAATATAGGCTTTAATTACATTTATTAGTGCCGCATGGTTGAAAAAAAATGTGAAACATGTTCTCATTGATAATTTTCTGCAAAGATGGCGAGAATCAAAGGAAAATTCATCTTAAGGTTACTATTATAACATGTTTAAAGAGTTACCATCCCTAGAACCATATTTACTAGAACTACCAATCACCTTACGCATCTCTCTTGCTCGTTTTAGAACAGCAAATCATAGATTACCCATTGAAGCAGGAAGATGGTATAATATTGTAAGAGAGGAAAGAAAATGTACATTGTGTAAAACATTGATATGTGATGAAATGCACTTTTTATTAGAATGTCCAAAACTCTCAGAAAGTTTTTGCCTCAATACTACTGTATGTATCCTTCTGCCATAAAATTCTCTCATTTGATGTCCATTACTTCTAAGCCAATTCTATTAAAACTGGCAAGTTATATAAGATCATGTATGGAAATGTTCCACTGCCATGTTTTCTCCTATTGTATCTAATTCCTGTATCCAATTACATCTCTGTATCACTGCCGTGATTTACGAAATTAAACATCATTCAACCAGCGTTATTCCCTGAGCATCTGTGATAAAAATGTGGGATATTACTGATTGTGTGTCCATGTTCCTCGATGACGTTGATCGTTGCTCATGCTGTAAATCTCTGGTTCGCTTGGCCCAGATTCGAATCTTTCCAGGTCGCCTTGATAAAGCTGGGATAATGCTGATTGCAGATTAAAACTCATTCACTCATTCATCTTCTCACTCACTCACTCACTCACTCACTCACTCACTCACTCACTCACTCACTCACTCACTCACTCACTCACTCACTCACTCACTCACTCACTCACTCACTCACTCACTCACTCACTCACTCACTCACTCACTCACACGAGTGCTTCCTGGTGCCATGTATTGAAATGGAATATATGTGGATCTCGGCCAGGGCGTTTAAGAGTTAGTTTACAAGAGTTAGTTTACAAGAGTTTGTTTACAAGAGTTTGTTTACAAGAGTTAATTTACAAGGGCTAGTTGACAAGAGCCTGACATGTGCAGCACAGTCGGAGTCCTCGCCCCATCTACTGCAGACGATGTGACGGTAAGTCTCCAGTTTGTTCATTATCTAAACTGCTAATCATAGCCTGGGTTCTACTCTCGTAACTATATTTACGCAATCGAAAACGATAAGGGAATATCACATGGCGACAATATTATGTTTTCCTTATTATGCAAAGGCTTTCTGAAATTGTAGACAGAGCGTCTGCCCTGAAAGCAGGAGGTCGGTGATTCGAACTCCTGGCCGCATGATACCAAACTAAGTTAAAACGTGGTACTTGTTGTTCGCATGCCTTGATGCTCGCATTAATAAGATAAAGGACTGGTCGGCTCGCAGTTTTACTGTGTCTAAGTGGGGTATCCATGTTCAACTGCAGGATGGTATCTGGCCAGCACTTTAAATCCGGCATTTGTCTGTACGTGTACAAATAGGGGTGGATTGGCTGTGATTTGTAGAGATTAGATATCTTTTCGGCTACAGCTGCAAAACCAGATATTTGTTTCATTAAAACTTTGAGTCTAAATATACTTTTTAAACGTCTTGCAGCAATGTATTTTTGGTGGCTGACAATATCTCTTTTTTAACAGTCTCAAGCATAATTATTTTTTTCTAGCATTTTCTGGGACAATTTATTTTATTCGATAAAATACCAGGACTCACCCAGATTATCCAGAGGTCGGTCCCTCATAAAGTTATGTCCGTTCTGGCTATGACTGTTACGTTATGAAAAAGGAGGCCGGTTGAACTAAACTGAGGGCCAAAAGAAACGCTACCAACATTAACTGATTTGCCACTTTGAAACAAAGATGCCAACCTGTTCAAAAACAGTAAAGAACATATCTCACGAATACAGCCTTCATGTTCTCTGTCGTTTGCACGTGCTTTGCGGATTTTGGGAGATATTGTTTTTCAGCAATTTTTTAAAACATTCTTTCCCAAATTATCGTGCAATTTCCGGGTATAAATTACGCACGGATCTGTTCCCTATCATTGGTTGCGATGATTAACACCAACGAACATGCCAAGACTGACCGCTGTCCAGAGGGAGAGAGCCATAGGTATGCTGCAGATGGGAGCGACATAGAGAGCGGTTGCCATTAACATGAACTGCTCCAAGATGACCATTACCAGACTGGTCGCACGTCTCCGACAGACTGGCAGAACCGCAGGCAGACCACCGAGTGGCAGACCAAAGGTCACGACCCCGCAGGATGACCGCTTTTTACGGGTACTTCATCTGAGGAACAGATATCTTACTGTGACGTCATCAGCTGCCAACAGCTTAGGACATCCGGTCAGCAGACAAACAGTGACCAGACGACTATGACATTATGGTCTCCGGGCTTATTGCCCTTTCAAGGGCATGACCTTGACCCGTCAACATCGACGTGCCAGATTGACGTGGTGCAGGCAAACTCAGCGATGGCAACAAAGGGAATGGCGGCGAGTGCTGTTAAGTGACGAGAGCAGGTTCCAACTCTTCAAACCTGATGGGCTTTATCGACGACGTGGTGAACGTGGCTCCTTGTTGTGTCCAGGAGGTGGAACCTTACGGGGGCGGAAGTGTGATGGTCTGGGGCGGCATTTGCGGGGACGAGAAGGCGGAACTTGTCAGCATCGAAGGCAATCTGACAGCACAACGCTACATTGACAATATCTTACGGCCAGTGGTTCTTCCTTTCACCCAGCGTCAACAACGTACGGTGTTCCAACAAGATAACACCACATCCCATAAAGCCCGTATTACTAGAGACTTCCTCAACGCCAACAACGTGACTGTCCTGCCGTGGCCAGCTCGATCACCAGATCTGTCACCCATAGAACATCTCTGGGACCAGCTGGGGCGTCGTCTTCGGAAACGTCAACATCCTCCCTTCACGATACAAGCGTTCATCGTTGCCCTCCGTGAGGAATGGAATCGGATACCTGCAGTCGATGTGAGGACGCTTGTCTACATGCATTGCCGCTCATGGAAGTCATATCCCGCATTGAACGGTCTGGGCCGTCGTCACCTTAAAGTTGTAACCAATGTTGTTGATCGAATACTGGACGAATGACACATTGTCGAGAAATGTCCCTGTTGGAGGTCAAGGACTTTGTTGTTGAATTAGTAAATTCGCATTTTACTGTTCTAAATGATGAATTTCTACAATACGATTGTTATTGCTGCTTCAAATTGTGTTTGTCATATTTTATCCTAGAAATATCGTTGGTAATGTTTCTTTTGGCCGTCAGTTTATTTCCCTCAGCGTATTCTATGGATATCTGAGGACATGTTTCAAGCTCCTGTTCAATTTCATTAAATGACTTAAAGCTATCATCGATAAATAGTTTTAATTCTGTCTAAGAGTGTGACTTGTTTGTCCTCCGAAATTTTGGCCGCTTGAGTAGTGATACGTTATGAAGTTGTTCAGTTCCATTAAAGAATGCAGTTTTTACCTTATAACTGCACATAATTGTCCCGTTCACTGTCGCGCAGTTCCATGCTGTATCATGTAATATCCACTTGTTTTTAAGGTTTCAAGTATCTTTTTTTGTGGAATGATTTGTTCATTATGACATAGACTTCACCTTTGTCGTCTCCCTTAATAGTGATATTGGTCACGTGGCCTCAATAACAAAATATCTCTTCATTTCCCTTACTACCATATGTGAGTGAGTGAGTACGGTTTTACACCGCCATTAGCAATATTCCAGCAATATCACGGCGGGGGTCACCAGAAATGGGCTTCACACAACGTACCGATGTCGGGAATCGAACCCGGGTCTTCGGCGTGACGAGCGAACGCTTTATCCACTAGGCCACCCGACCGCCCCTCCTGACAACCATAAACAACTGCCTATAGACAATTAAAAACTAAATGTTGTCATAATTATTTCTTGCTAATAACTACCCTGATAGCAATGCCGTTTTCGAATGTCAAATTCGTATTCAATAGGGCGTGAAACACAGAAAAGTGATGAAAAGCATTGAATTAAGGATGGATCACTGAAAACCAGGTGTGCGCGAAAAAGGTAAGCGTCCCCTGCTCTATCAGTAGAACCAGCCACTTATACCATGTTCAGCTCTCAGACATATTTGTCTTACTTTCACTGTTGCCGATTCTTATTCATACCAGTTCTTCAATCCACATCTGACTTCTGACAAAACACGTCCATCATGAAGATATTCTGTGGCCACGTCAGCGCCTATCTGTTGTGGATGACACTGTCTGCTTCACTGGCATCAGAACGTGTAAGACATTACTTGCTTGCTTGGGCATGATGCCAGGGACCCATTTCACGTTGAGGTTCTAGAGCTAAGACTGTGGGAACACATACACTTTAATATAGACTGACAACATCGTAGGATGGTTTCGTGGAAAGGGGTTCGGGGCGTTGTACAAACACAGCATTAACACATGATGTTTGATTCTGGTTTATTTTGTTATAATTGATAATTGTAAACAACTTATGTACAGAAATATGTATTTAATGTGAAGTTTTACACGATATACAACTTTTTCATTGGACATGAGGCCGGTCAAATGACCGCGAAACTGACGTCAATAAGTGTATGCACGACACATTCTGATTCATACGTTGTTTCACGAGACTGTATCCTTGAAATGACGCAACCACTGACGGACTTCACCTGGGAACTCCCCAGCACGAATGAAACGAAGTGTTGTTTCTGATCATTTAGACCCTTCAATCTTGAACTTCAGAGAGTTTGACTGAATGCCTGTTCCTCGCCACGACCCATCCTTGTGAACAAAACGAAGTACATCCAAACTATGGACTCGACAAGTGACAGTCTACAGCAATCCATAGGTTTCCTTTGGTATCTCTTGACACATCTTTATAATCACCTTTCAAAGATCGACCAATTGATCAATGATGACTAACACTTTAATCGCCACAGGTTCATCAACAACTTCGGAAATCTCTCACGTTTGTCTTGACGTCTTGACTTGTTTTGACGTCCTCGTATTTGATGTAAATGTATGACTGACTCACTCACTCACTCACTTAACAGACCTTAACAGATACAGCTGGTTGTTGTATGGCCCTCAGTATGAACATGGTGTCACACGTACTAAATGAAATTGTGTTAGACATCTCTCGAATCTCAAGGCATAAATAGTGATATAAAAAATATAAGATTTGACTTCACTGGAATATGAACCTTCATAGAGTGTGGGCCAGTTTAATTCTTAAATTTAGAAGGCCATTGCGAGAAAATAATCAGACTCGATTATCTGCAGAAACAGATTCCAAAAAGCATCAAAGGTAATATAGTGATGACAATTTTACGAATGACACCAGCGGTTCGTAAAAAGGGTAAGCATGTAAAGATGCACAACAAATCACAAATGGAAATATTCGATACATCATCTGATAATAATTGCTATTTTTGCGCTGTTTTTAATTATAATTTTGTAATTTGTATGTGTATGTGTATGTAACTATTATTCTGTGCTGATGTCCATATCGTAATTGGTGACTTTAGTACTAGCACAAACAGTAAACGACAACTTGATCTGTATTTTGTAAGATGTTCCATGTTGGAGTTGACATTTGGTATATATTGTGTAAGTTGGTCATATTCTGTAAGCTCCTGGTGGATTTGTTGGAAAGTAAATGTAAGTATTTTATGTCCACAAATATCACAATGTATTAAACTGTTATTGTGTTGTGTTTTATTTAGTAAACGGGTATCACAGTCATAATACGTATTTAGGGATATTGGTTTGGATTTGCCATTTATAAAATAGACAGTTTTCAAGTTTGTACCAGATGGTGCCAACATTCGAACATTCCCAAAACAGCTGTGTGTTTCTGGTCCATTAGATCAATAACTTTCAATACAACTTTTAAATGCTGGTTAACTCGCCATTATCTGAAATGACACTTACTTTTCTGTGAACATAAAGCAATAACATAAACATATACTAGTTTTCCGACATTTCGAAATTACCTTTTACTTCCGAGAATGACAGTATTCCTCACTACAGAACAAAACAAAAGCAACTCGTTGCCAGCCTGTGTTGCGTGGAGACAAGCTGACGTCATGTCACGTGTCAACGGATCAACCAACCACGGTTGACGTGTCTGGATTTCTTCCACATGGAGTCATCTGTGCTTCCAAGTCCAAGTCCTGCTACGTCTGTCATAATGGGGAGCTTCTTCCAGCTGACTGTAGTCATGGTAACACAGAGTTTTATGTTGGAATAATGTAGATGAAAGCATACATTACTGTGTTTCTTTCACAACAGTTGGTTTGAGTGAGTCAATCGTTGTAATTAAATATAAATCTTTGACTAGACAAGCTGCATTCCGACTGTCACTTTCATAATCTGGTAAGTGATGCTCTGATTGGTCGAATAGAAGGTTCTGACGTGACCCCTAATGGGAAGTCCTCAGATCTTTGTTTAGCGGTAGCGAGAACTGAGGTCTGATTTTAATGAGGTTGCAAAATGATTGAAGTTTATTATTCAATAACCGTGTACACGTTTTCCTTCAATCATGAAGTTTCAAAGATAGGTCGGTGGCTGCTCCGTGTATTTCGACACTTGCATGGTTGATTTGCCGATGTGAAAAAAATCAAACTGATGGAATTTCATGTGATCCGAATTCATTCAAGAAGGACCTGTGAAGATCCGGGTTAGAACAGGTCTTCAGCAACCCATGCTTGCCGTGAAAAGAGACTATGCTTGTCGTAAGAGGGGACTTACGGGATCGGGCTGTCCGCTTCACCGACTTGGCTGATGTATGCCATCGTATTCCAATTGCAAGGATCGATGTTCATGATGTCAATCACCGGACTGTCTGGTTCAGACTCGATAATTAACAGACCGCCATCATGTATAGCTGGAATATTGCTGAGTGCGGGGTTAAACAACAAACAAACACACATTCATGTAGGATGGTGCAATCTTAACCCTCGTGTAGTGGTTTTTACAAGAATGACATGTATTTGCATGTAGTCACTGTGTCATTTCTGAATCATTGTATATCTAGCGCATGTTCATCTTTGCTTGTAGGGCGTCTACTAAAACGTTCAAAGCGCTTTTGGGGATCTGTTGGTCGGGATATAGAAAATGGCCTTAACAAGTTCGCAAAGGATGTACATCGAGGATGGCGGGAAACTGAGCGTGCCTTTAAAAAACTAGGTGAGTCTTTTTCTAGACGTTAGAAGCTGCGGTTGATTTCGGTTGGTCTTCATTAGAAACTGGGTTAGGGTTAGGTGGGTCGCTATTAGAAACTGGGGTAGGGTTAGGCTGGTCTTGATTAGAAACTTGGGTAGGGTTAGGATGGTCTTGATTAGAAACTGGGGTAGGGTAAGGGTGGTCTTGATTAGAAACTGGGGTTGGATTGGGATGGTCTTGATTAGAAACTTGGGTAGGTTTGGGATGGTCTTGATTAGAAACTGTGGTAGGATTAGGATGACCTTGATTAGAAACTGTGGTAGGATTAGGATGGTCTTGATTAGAGACTGGGGAAGGGTTGGGATGGTCTTGATTAGAAACGGGGGTAGAATTAGGATGGTCTTGATTAGAAACTGGGGTAGGGTTAGGATGGTCTTGATTAGAGATTTGAGTAGGGTTAGGCTGGTCTTGATTAGAAACTGGGGAAGGGTTGGGATGGTCTTGATTAGAAACTGGGGTATGATTAGGCTGGTCTTGATTAGAAACGGGGGTAGAATTAGGATGGTCTTGATTAGAAACTGGGGTAGGGTTAGGATGGTCTTGATTAGAGATTTGAGTAGGGTTAGGCTGGTCTTGATTAGAAACTGGGGAAGGGTTGGGATGGTCTTGATTAGAAACTGTGGTAGGATTAGGATGACCTTGATTAGAAACTGTGGTAGGATTAGGATGGTCTTGATTAGAGACTGGAGTAGGGTTGGGATGGTCTTGATTAGAAACGGGGGTAGAATTAGGATGGTCTTGATTAGAATCTGGGGTAGGGTTAGGATGGTCTTGATTAGAGATTTGAGTAGGGTTAGGCTGGTCTTGATTAGAAACTGGGGAAGGGTTGGGATGGTCTTGATTAGAAACTAGGGTATGATTAGGCTGGTCTTGATTAGAAACGGGGGTAGAATTAGGATGGTCTTGATTAGAAACTGGGGTAGGGTTAGGATGGTCTTGATTAGAGATTTGAGTAGGGTTAGGCTGGTCTTGATTAGAAACTGGGGAAGGGTTGGGATGGTCTTGATTAGAAACTGGGGTATGATTAGGATGGTCTTGATTAGAAACTGTGGAAGGGTTAGGCTGGTCTTGATTAGAAACTGGGGTAGGGTTGGGATGGTCTTGATTAGAAACTGTGGTAGGATTAGGCTGGTCTTGATTAGAAACTTGGGTAGGGTTAGGATGGTCTTGATTAGAAACTGGGGTAGGGGTGAGGTGAGGTGAAATGGGGTTTAACGTCGCATCCAAGATTATTGCACTTATATAGCGACGTGCATGCACGTGTATGTGGCTGATTGTACTATTCCGGACTGATGCCGATTTATAGTGCTAGCACTATGAGATACCATGACGCAGTTTAACATGAATACCCCACTCAGACACAGTATACTGACTCCGAGCCGACCAGTCCTTGTATTAGCCCCTTAATGCCGAGCGCCAGACAGGGTAACAACAAGTACCATCTTTTAACGTATTTTGGTATGACGCGGCTGGGGATCGAACCCCGGACCTTCCGCTCTCCGAGCGGACGCTCTACCATTAGACCACGGAGGCGGTCCTTGGGTAGGGTAAGGGTGGTCTTGATTAGAAACTGGGGTAGGATTAGGATGACATTGATTAGAAACTGGAGTAGGATTAGGAAGGTCTTGATTAGAGACTGGAGTAGGGTTGGGATGGTCTTGATTAGAATTGGGATAGGGTTAGGCTGGTCTTGATTAGAAACTGGGGTAGGATTAGGATGGTCTTGATTAGAAACGGGGGTAGAATTAGGATGGTCTTGATTAGAAACTGGGGTAGGGTTAGGATGGTCTTGATTAGAGATTGGAGTAGGGTTAAGATGGTCTTGATTAGGGATTGGAGTAGGGTTAGGCTGGTCTTGATTAGAAACTGGGGAAGGGTTGGGATGGTCTTGATTAGAAACTGGGGTATGGTTAGGATGGTCTTGATTATAAACTGTGGTAGGGTTAGGCTGGTCTTGATTGGAAACTGGGGTACGATTAGGTTGGTCTTGATTAGAGACTGGGGTAGGGCTGGGATGGTCTTGATTAGAATTGGGGTAGGGTTAGGATGGTCTTGAGTAGACACTGGGGTAGGATTAGGCTGGTCTTGATTAGAAACTGGGGTAGAATTAGGATGGTCTTGATTAGAAACTGGGGTAGGGTTAGGATGGTCTTGATTAGAGATTAGAGTAGGGTTAAGATGGTCTTGATTAGGGATTGGAGTAGGGTTAGGCTGGTCTTGATTAGTAAATTGGGGTAGGGTTGGGATGGTCTTGATTAGAAACTGGGGTAGGATTAGGATGGTCTTGATTATAAACTGTGGAAGGGTTAGGCTGGTCTTGATTGGAAACTGGGGTAGGGTTAGGCTGGTCTTGATTAGAAACTGGGGTAGGGTTAGGATGGCCTTGATTAGAAACTGGGGTAGGATTAGGATGGTCTTGAGTAGACACTGGGGTAGGATTAGGCTGGTCTTGATTAGAGACTGGAGTAGGGTTAGGATGGTCTTGATTAGAAACTGGGGAAGCATTAGGATGGTCTTGATTAGAAACTGGGGTAGGATTAGGATGGTCTTGATTAGAAACTGGGGAAGGGGGAGGATGGTCTTGAGTAGGAACTGGGGTAGGGTTAGGCTGGTCTTGATTAGAAACTGGGGAAGAGTTAGGATGGTCTTGAGTAGAAACTGGGGTAGGGTTAGGTGCGTCTCTATTAGAAACTGGGGAAGGGTTAGATGGGTCTCTATTAGAAACTGGGGAAGGGTTAGATGCGTCTCTATTAGAAACTGGGGTAGGGTTTGATTGGTGTCTATTAGAAACTGGGGAAGGGAAGGATGCGTCTCTATTAGAAACTGGGGTAGGGTTAGGTGGGTCTCTATTAGAAACTGGGGAAGGGCTAGATGCGTCTCTATTAGAAACTGGGGTAGGGTTAGGTGCGCCTCTATTAGAAACTGGGGAAGGGTGAGATGCGTCTCCATTAGAAACTGGGGTAGGGTTAGATTGGTGTCTATTAGAAACTGGGGAAGGGTAAGATGCGTCTCTATTAGAAACTGGGGTAGGGTTAGGTGGGTCTCGATTAGAAACTGGGGAAGGGTGAGATGCGTCTCTATTAGAAACTGGGGTAGGGTTAGATGCGTCTCTATTAGAAACTGGGGAAGGGTGAGATGCGTCTCTATTAGAAACCGGGGTAGGGTTACGTGGGTCGGTGTTAGCATCGACTTTTTGTTATTGCAAGTGTTTTGTACCTGTCATGATCGGAAAGATAGCGTGTCTCTTAAACATGGCCTAAGAAACCTTTATCTGTCTGAGATGTGATGAAGGATGTGGTAAAGTTGTTATAGCAGTAGCTGCAATGATTGCACGCTAAACATCACGAGAAATCTGAAGCCTTTTGTGAGGACGTTGTTATTATAGTGAAATCAGTACACAACTACTTGTGAATTACATTGTGACAGTAACGGCACGTTACAATACACATGAACGTTTAGTACATGTGCCAATTACAACATGAGACAACGTTGTTATTTCTTGTTCACATGGATAAGTAAGGCGATTTTCGAACAGTATTGTTTCCGGGTGCATTTTGACTGACATTACAATGGTCAACTGTACCGAACAGTTACTGCGCATCCCCATGGAAACTAACACCAAAACAATCATGAAATACACATTCTTTCATGTCGGGAACACAATACTTTGCTGATAAAAAAAAAGAAATCAATGTGACATTGACCCATGCATAACCTTAAATATCTGCCTGTCAAATATAACGAATTCGTGAAAAATGTCAGAGGTCAGGATATGGGTAAAACACGGTTAGCAATGCTTTTCCTCCCTTACTCAACGCCATCCGGAAATGAACAATGTTATCCTATCAGCAATATATGGAGGCTGTGTTCACGTCTGAGGTCATCGAAAACTCCTGTCCTTTTGAAAGAATCATTAAGGCCCCTGCAATATCCTTATAAAATGTTTACTCTGTTACTCGGTTTTTATCAATTGGTCTGTGAAATAATGTCCCAAAGTTATCGTTGTTAAACGGGTCAACTTCTTTATTATGAGGAACACAACGATTCGGAGTATATACTTACTCCTTCCACCAGGTGGAATACATTCTATGAGACAGAGAACATACATAAATGTATCTGTAAGAATAACAAAAGTTATAAGATAACAAAGGTTGAAACTTAACAAGGGAAGCCAACAGTTACTTGGCGCTGATATATATTACCAATGGACAAATAGAAGCCAACACTTCACAATTAATTGGCGCTGATAGGTGATAGCGATGGACAACTGGAAGCCAGGACTAAATTATCACTGATTGGTAATAGGCAATGGGCAACGTGCAAACGGGAGGCCGGGGGCAATTAGCACTGATAGGTCATAGAATGGAAATTTAGGTTAGATCATTAAGGCTGTTGTGTCTAATTTTAATGGCTGGTTAGAGTCCTCGGTGCTCCAAGCAAAATTAAGAAAAAATGACTTCCCTTTACATGCTTCCTTGTAACTGTAGTCAAGTAGTTGATATGGACCTGCATACAATACCGTGTTACGGAAAGAGGAACAGCTTGTTGACAAACGTATAAAAGCTGTACATCCGAGATGTCATATCCTCTATGTGGCAAGTGTGAAACATGTGTAGGATTGGAATGACAAACCCCCGGATCATGTAATGTTTATAACACGAAAATATACGTGCTGTATACTTGTGTTACACGAAGGACACATTCATCTCTCTCTCTCTCTCTCAAGCACAAATATCTTTTGTATATTTGCAGACTATATGCTTGTCATTTGTTTGACTTTTTTTATTGATAAATGAAAATTTACAAATATGATTTTGCTCATCGTTTTCATCATTTTTTAATTCAGGAAACATAGCTCCGACGCTGTATTGCCCACATGTGGACAGCGAGTACGTGGCTCCACGAGGCTCCACGTCTGTCAGAGTCGTGTGGGGCAAATTCAGAATAAGAGACAATGCAGGCGATACCAGCGAGTACATGGATATTCTATATAATTTTAATAGTTAACATACAGATCCAAAATTAGTAACTCAAGAAAAAGCATTGATTGATCCGATCACTATTAATTTATCAATCTAATTAAGCACCATTTCATTCCAACTCTATTTACTCGATATTACCGACAATTTTAAACATTTAATATTTCATTCAATTCTCTAGCATGGAAACCGACCCGTGAAGATCCGGGGTAGAAATGGTCTTCAGCAACCCATGCTTGCCATAAAAGGCGACTATGCTTGTCGTAAGAGGCGACTAACGGGATCGGGTGGTCAGGCGATGGTCATGATGTCAATCACTGGATTGTCTTGTTCAGACTCGATTATTTTTCAGACCGCCGTCATATAACAGGAATATTGCTGAGTGCGGTGTTAAACAACAAACAAACAAACAAAGCATGAAAACCACCTATAGATAATATCATTGTATTTTCAGTCAAATTTGATGCTGAGTTCAAAGTCGTGCCAGGATACTCTGATAATGGGTTCGCCCAAGTATGATCCTTGGTTGGCATCATGCGTCTACGACTAGTGTACAACTGGGTTAGTGCGGCTTTTGATTGAAGTACGAATGTACCATGGTGATGATTGCACATTGTTAATATTCAGCTTAACGCGTCTGACACCGAAGGGTCCCGGCAGCTACTTTGGGAAAGGCCCCCACAGAGTTGTATACAAGGTGACAGATAGTTTTGGATTGTCTGACACATGCACGATCCGGTTCAGAGTGAAAGGTAACTGAAGATACCGCCATGACATTGTTTAACAACACTTATGATGTTACAATGCACTGATGATTGGAAACATGACACGGTATTTTTTTCATTTTCATTTCATTTTATTTCCAATACATATAGGCCACAGGCGTTTGTGCACAACAGTTGAGTACAGACAGGTTTTAAGCTTTCAGCTTCGCATTTCTTACTTCATTTGCATAATATAGATATTTCGCTAGATTTGCAATAATATATGTATCTGGTGATGACAGGAGCATATTAAATTTATGAACGTTAGGATGACAATAGAACTTTGCTTTGCGATATAGTTGTCGTAGCTTGACATACGATGGACAAATATGCAGGAAGTGGTACTCGGTTTCAACACAGTCTAATTTACAAAGTTTGCCTTTTCGATAGGACGATACGATAATGTGACGCTATTGACCTCACGATGCACGATTAAACAGTACATGTGTCGGTATTTACATCACGATACACAACGGTACGGTACATGTGACTCTATTTACCTCACGACACGCGACGATCCGATACTTGTCACGATACATATCTCATGATACGATACATGTCACACTGTTTTTTTATTTTGATTTTGCGAAATACGACGAAACATGCCACGATATTTACCTTACGATATGTTAAGTTAACGTTACTCAAACCTTTCAGTCACCTGACGTCCTAAGTCAAATATTTATTAAACAGAATCTAATTCAGCATAAACTTGATGACTTAGACTTAAAGGGTTAGATGAGAATTTACAAATTCGCCGAATTTATATCGAGAAGAGAAATATCGTATTTCGTTTCATTATCGCACAGTTGACCCAAGTATGGCTATATATTAACACTACTATTACCCGTCACACCCAAGATCACGCAACGATAGCATTAAGTTCCGTTTATTATATACGATCATTCATAAATTCAAGTTTGTAATTATACAAACACGTATGGGATGCATGTGTTCGACAGTGAGGGAATGCGAGGAGTTGTACATCTACCATGGCACGGCCGACTGCACTGGGAACCACTACGGTGCCAGCTGCAGCTTCTCGTGCGACAGAGGCTACACACGCCAAGGGTCACGCGTCTCCGAATGTGGATATTATGGAACGTACAGCCCCTCGCCACCAACCTGTGACAGTACGTATCCAGTGTACAGTGTGACTAAACTGAGGGGCAAAAGAAAGTATACCGAGTTTTTTTTAATGTAATTGGAGAACTGTTGTTAAATTTGAATATGTCTATTTAACCATGATTCATTCCTGCAACATTTTTTAAAAGTAATCTGTGGATGGGTGATTAATTTTGTAAAAATGAATTTGTTCAATGAAGACTGGGGTAAGAAATGAGTTTGCAACCACATGGCCCCTGTAAAGTTGTAAATTTGCGTCGAAAAAACACACCAAATTTATTGATCTTAAAAGATAATATCCTAAGATAACCATCAACATGTTTTAAAAAGAGTTTTAAATCAAATTATGTTTTAAAAAATAAACTATGTAATAGTATTCTTTGAGTGCTGACTAAACGCCAAGACATTTGTTTGATAGAATATCGTTAACTTAAGATATTCTAAATTGAAAATAAAACAGAGGCATAGTTTATTTTGCTCCTCAGTTTATAATCAAACATGTCAACGTCAGTGCTTTGTAACCTTTTTCGTTGTGTAAATATTCGATTAAAGAAAACAGTCGTCACAGTTTTCGGTAGTCTTGTTTCATAAGTAGGATGTTACGCTTCATTTAGCAATATTCCAGCAATATCAAGGCGCGGGATACCTAGAATATGCTTTACATATATCACACACTGGTGTAGAGAATCGAACCTTGGTCTTCAGCGTGATGAACCCACATGTTTGTTACCCTCGTCTCTTATGTAAAAGACGACCGGTTACACCTCTTCTGGGATATAGAAAGACAGTTTGTCGACGTCACAACTGTGTGAAGATAAATTTAAGACGATGTTACTTTATGGTACCGGCAGTTTCCTTTTCAGCACTATGATTTAATACCCACACATCGCCAGAATTGAATTATGGATAACTGGAAATATTTTAGATGGCCCCGATGTCGTCGAGATATCACTGGAGTCACTGATGGTCAAAGGCTTGCCCGTGTCTGTTTCTCCAAACATCTCAAGGATTGATTCCCTTCTCTGTATTGGTATTGCCAGGGGTACAATGTTCTTGACCATACAACATTGGTTATCTTCTCTGTATCGGTATTGCCAGGGGTACAATGTTCTTGACCATACAACATTGGTTATCTTCTCTATATCGGTATTGCCAGGGGTACGGTGTTCTTGACCATACAAGATTGGTTATCTTCTCTGTATCGGTATTGCCAGGGGTACAATGTTCTCGACTCGACCATACAACATTGGTTATCTTCTCTGTATTGGTATTGCCAGGGGTACAATGTTCTTGACCATACAACATTGGTTATCTTCTCTGTATCGGTATTGCCAGGGGTACAATGTTCTTGACCATACAACATTGGTTTTCTTCTCTGTATCGTTATTGTCAGGGGTACGGTGTTCTTGACCATACAATATTGGTTATCTTCTCTGTAGCGGTATTGTCAGGGGTACAATGTTCTTGACCATACAGCATTGGTTATCTTCTCTATATCGGTATTGCCAGGGGTACGGTGTTCTTGACCATACAAGATTGGTTATCTTCTCTGTATCGGTATTGTCAGGGGTACAATGTTCTTGACCATACAACATTGGTTATCTTCTCTGTATCGTTATTGTCAGGGGTACGGTGTTCTTGACCATACAATATTGGTTATCTTCTCTGTATCGGTATTGCCAGGGGTACAATGTTCTCGACCATACAACGTTGGTTATCTTCTCTGTATCGGTATTGTCAGGGGTACAATGTTCTCGACCTTACAGCATTGGTTATCTTCTCTGTATCGGTATTGCCAGGGGTACAATGTTCTTGACCATACAACATTGGTTATCTTCTCTGTATCGGTATTGCCAGGGGTACAATGTTCTCGACCATACAACATTGGTTATCTTCTCTGTATCGGTATTGCCAGGGGTACAATGTTCTCGACTCGACCATACAACATTGGTTATCTTCTCTGTATCGGTATTGCCAGGGGTACAATGTTCTTGACCATACAACATTGGTTATCTTCTCTGTATCGGTATTGCCAGGGGTACAATGTTCTCGACCATACAATATTGGTTATCTTCTCTGTATCGGTATTGTCAGGGGTACAATGTTCTCGACCATACAACGTTGGTTATCTTCTCTGTATCGGTATTGTCAGGGGTACAATGTTCTTGACCATACAACATTGGTTATCTTCTCTGTATCGGTATTGCCAGGGGTACAATGTTCTCGACCATACAATATTGGTTATCTTCTCTGTATCGGTATTGTCAGGGGTACAATGTTCTCGACCATACAACATTGGTTATCTTCTCTGTATCGGTATTGTCAGGGGTACAATGTTCTCAACCATACAACATTGGTTATCTTCTCTGTATCGGTATTGTCAGGGGTACAATGTTCTCAACCATACAATATTGGTTATCTTCTCTGTATCGGTATTGCCAGGGGTACGATGTTCTCGACCATACAACATTCATCATGGCTACGTGTACTGCTCCGGAAGTTACTACGGCTCAAAGTGCTCGTTCAGCTGCGAGGATGGGTATCAACTTCAGGGATATAGCAGTTCCCGATGTGAAGGGGACGGAACGTTCAGTTCGCTACTGCCCACATGTAAAAGTAAGATTAAACTATTCAGTTAAAGAGGGTGATTTTGTGAGATAGAGGAGCATGAGATTGAACAAGAGAGAGAGAGAGGGAGTGAGAAAAGAGAAAAAAGAGGCGGGGAGGGAGACGAGCGGGTGCGGCGGGGTGGCGGTAGAGCATGTGAGGGAATGAAATAGTGAGTACATGAGAGCGAGGTCAATGTTAACGAGACAAAAAGACTGAGAGCGCACATGTGAGAGTAATAGAAAGCGTGTATAAGAGAGTGAATGAGAGGGGTGTGCGAGGAAGTAGTGAGAGACGTTAGTGATCTTGTAGGAGTGAGTGAGTGAGTGAGTATGGTTTCACGCCGCTTTTAGCAATATTCCAGCAATATCACGGCGGGGGACACCAGAAATGGGCTTCACTCATTGTACCCATGTCGGGAATCGAACCCGGGTCTTCGGCGTGACGAGCAAACGCTTTAACCACTAGGCTACCCGACCGCCCCTCTTGTCGGAAATAGTTTTTTTCACATTGATATGTTTATAAATAAGAACACATTCAGACACTTCTCTCCCAGTTACTGTTTAGGTTGAAGCATGGTGATATCGTCTTGGACTTGTGAATTATAAATTAAAAGCCCCCTGTTGATTGTTTTATTATGTTCAAGTCATTACCTGTGACGAAATGATGCTCCCACGCAACGCGAAGTCGAAAGTCTGCACTAATGGCAATGTATATCAGAGCGAGTGTCACCCGGTGTGTAAGATGGGCTATGAAACGGATTCCTCAGCCACATGTACTGAGGGAGGATGGTTATTCGCCTCATGGCAATGTGAAGGTTGGTGTTAATGTTCTAATACATACTCAAAGTACTAAAGTAGGTGTACCGTGTCCATCATAGCGAGTCTCTTTTTCTTTGTAAAATATAAGCGTACTTGTGTTTAATTATGCTCAAGAAGAACCCAACCTAAACAAATTAAACATCCTAATTATTTTCAGTTTTGCACAAGTAACAAGGTTTTTTTTCTAATGGATGACTAGAGAGCAAAACTTTCATGAAGCGTTGCAGCCATATCATCTTCAGCCTTGTCTTCTGTATACCGATGAGGTTTCTATGCTCTTCTGGGCAACCGGAAGTGGTTGTTGGTAGAGTCCCTCTGATCTAAACATTTACACATGTACGAGGATGCCAATTCCTCCCGCTGCACCGCCTGTTTCAGACAGAACTGATCCTACCTTCACCGGCTGCCCCAACAAGACCGTACACACTTTGGACACCAACTACTACTGGCAGACACCCATCGCCACAGATACCACAGGTGACGTCACTGTCAAGCAGGTCTACGGTCAGATCCCGGGTTCCACGTTTGACTATGGAAGTCATCTGATTCAGTATGAGGCCGAAGACGCGTCTGGGAACAGTGACACATGTGCCTTCCTGTTCAACGTGCAGAGTACGTAAAGCTTTTGTCAAGAACTCTTTATTGGCATCAGCAATATTAATGAATTCAAAGGTTTTTGCAAAACATGTTAGAAAAAAAGGTTAAGATAACTCCTTGACTATCAGGGAAAATAATGGTCATGTGAGACTATTTTTGCAACTTTGTAATTTCTACACCTTGTGTCATCGGATTTGCAATGAATTGTGGGTTTAGGGATTTAAGTTTACCCGGTGAAAAACCCAGCGAGCTTATGGTTTATTTGTCTCTCAGTGTCGTGAAATCTCATGACGTATTCTGAACGTTGGCACAATAATTTCCACCAATTATGACTCAGAGGTTTGGTAAAATGGTTCTAATCCGTCTGTAAGTTGAAGCATGGTATGTGTGTTCTTGTTCATGGTGACACCAATATTTGCGTTTCGTTTATTTATCAGAAATGGAATGTCCCAAGCCTTTGGTTAATGACACGGATATGAAGTTTACCTGCAATGGGTTGACAGTTCAGTCCGTGTGTCGCCTGTCTTGTCAGTCTGGTACCTTTGTCCAGGGAAGCAAATACATCACATGTGTTCGCTCAGACAATACATCCTTCTGGGAACCCCTGGATGGAGACGCCCCCTCATGCTACAGTAAGGTTTTCTGGTTTGGTATACACCGTGCCTGATGTAGGAGATTGCTCAGTCGACTCAGTGTGGAGGGACATATGTTACGAGACACACTGTGACTGATGTACATTGCATGTAGAGTCAGATCTGACTTAAGTAACCTCTGTAACGAGACACATTGTGACTGATGTACATTGCATATAGAGTCAGATCTGACTTAAGTAACCTCTGTAACGAGACACATTGTGACTGATGTACATTGCATATAGAGTCAGATCTGACTTAAGTAACCTCTGTAACGAGACACATTGTGACTGATGTACATTGCATGTAGAGCCAGATCTGACTTAAGTAACCTCTGTAACGATACACACTGTGACTGATGTACATTGCATGTAGAGTCAGATCTGACTTAAAGAACACCTGTAACGAGACACATTGTGACTGATGTACATTGCATATAGAGTCAGATCTGACTTAAGTAACCTCTGTAACGAAACACACTGAAGCATGTCTCTAGATGTACGGACTTTGTTGTAGGGAGGACCTGTCCCGAGCTCCCCCCCCCCCCCCCCCTTGAATGGCGCTCTGGTGTGTGATAAACAACTTGGAGGAACACTGTGCCAAGTACACTGCAATGAAGGGTTTCATGTTGGTTTGGGAATAGAAATCGCAGGAACGTATGTTTGTGGTACCAAAAGCGCCACTTGGTCTCCTAGCAACGCTGTACCGGACTGTTCGGGTATGCCATATATTCTAATGTCTTTGTGAATTTAATACCCCCATTCCACTAAGCGGCGCTCTGTGGCGCTCCTTCAAATCGCCATAGATCGCCATATAGAGCGCTAAGATCTCCAAAAGCGTTAATGGATCGCTATCTGATCTCTAACTGATCTCCATGATCGTCAAGGTCGCCGCCTGTCGACTTCCCTGCACAAAGATCCGTGGCGCTCTGCCCAGAATGACGTCAGATCGATACTTGATCGCCATCCGAGCGCTACTTAATCAGAGCGCTGTCGTGTCACCTTAGAGCGTCGCCGTTCGCCACGAAAGACTAGGACCTACCCCTCTGCTACCAAGCGTAGAACTGATGAGCGCCTCAGAACGCTAAGGGTTTTTATAGGATCGGACCGAAAATTCGGCGATAGGGTCGCAATAGGATCCCATAGAGTGCTAATTGAGTGTTAATGGATCTCCATAGGTCGCCTAGATCGCTCTCGGATCGGATGAGATCGCATTAGATCGCAATGATCGCCATCGGAGCACAAATAGAGCGCCATTGGATCGCATCGTGATCGCCTTGAATTGCAAAAGAAGCGGGAACGGGTCGTGCAAGATCGACACATTTTGAGTTGTTTGGTTACGAGCAAGGGTCTTCAAGTCGCTATCGGATCGCATAGATCGCTATTGGATCGCAACAGGAGCGCTGTCTGATCGTAATCAGATCGTAAAGGCTCCTAGATAGCCGAAAAATGAGGAGACCCATGGCGGTCCCTCAGAGCGCAGAAGAGCGTCGCCTCGTGGAATTGGGGTATACCTGTGGATTCAGTTTATTTGTAAACAATTATCCGCGTCCTCGTACATATTCTCATCAATTGGATAACAATCATCCCCATAGCAAGATTAATACATAATTAAAACACAAACTTAACAGCTTCGTTTCGGTTTTAGTGCCGGAATTGCCAGATGAGTATGCAATGCCAACTGAGTTCTACTATTTTGGTGAGTGCGTCAATGAAGAAACTCTACTGGGTATCAAAGAACAGTTTCTGAACAACCTTCAAGGGCTACCATGCTACCATGCAGAATGTTCCATCCAAGATGTGCAGGTATCATGTGGAGAGGTTGACAATGACAGCGAGCAGGAATTTCTTGACAATTGGGATTTCAAACGGAGACGACGAGATGCGTCTTACAGGAGACGTCTCGAAATCCGAGTTATCTTTCATTTGAAGAACACAAACAGGTTTGAATATCACAGTAACTTGTATTTGTAATTCACTCGTTAGAGGATGACAACCCTTGCCAAGACATCAGCCACAGTGAAGCTGAACCACACACTCACTGATGAAATCATGTTCAGTTTCAAACGATAGCTATCTTAAAGTGTAATGCTAAATATTTACAAGACGACTTTAAGGAATTATGTTCGAAAACACTTGCTGTCCATAAACACGTGAGGCCCATAAACATATCTTGTCCATAAACACAACTATGATCCGACAACATCAAACAGTATATATGTAAGTGTTGGATTTATTGATGGTAATTTGATATTTATGAAAAGTAAAATTAAATTAATTTCCTCACATTTTGAAGAACTACATCCCTGACGGCTGCGAAAATGCTGTTAGAGAGATTTGCTGCGATGTCTCTTTCGTTTTTGGATGCGAATCTAATGCCAAGGTGAGTTCCCATGAAAGTGCCAAAAGTTTTTGTAAAATGGGCTAGTGCAATAGTTCTACCATTCTGCCATACGGAATTAAGAAATAATATACGTTGCCATTGTTTAGAAATATAACCTGATCGCACCAACGAAAATGTGTTGTTTTTGTGTGTTTTGTTTCACGTTTTGTTAGTATGGCTATTTCTTTATTTAAATAGGGACGAAGTTCAGGCAGAGTGGCAGACTCAGCAGATTTGAGTCCAAGCCGTTCAAACACCACTCCGTTTGCCAACACAATGTATTGTGAATATCAGTCTAACAAGTGACGGTTACTGTGCTTACTAATTACCACATCTAGACACGCAGAAGAAATGGCCTTCACAGTGTGGAGCAGATGGTCTCTTTAAGGCACATCTTCATGAACATGACATATAATGCGGGATTCCACAACTAGTTTTAGCACTTCCTTATGTCATTGTGTCATACCTGTTTATTTTAATACCGAGTTCGCGCCCCACGTTAAATAATGTTTGGATTACCTAAAACTAAATTCATGAATGACATGGTTGATGATACAAATCCTTTTGGCAATTTCCCTTCTTTTCTTAAATTTTATTTGCTGCTATAAATTGACACCTTGTTTTAGTATGGATTCACCATCAATGCCTACAACTCTGAAGTCTAAGGCGGCGTCTCCCACGTTATTGTCTGATGCCGACTTCAACGGCAACGACGGTTCCGGTGCTGTTGATGATGTAGACCCCACTATGTCCACTGGAATGTTTGAGGCGGTCAGTGGCGAACTGACCATGTCCTGCCCACCAGGAGAGGTCTTGCTCAGCAAACAGGCTGGACTCTGTGGTAAGGTCAAATAGTTACTAGCGGTGTATGCTTGAAAGTAATATATAAGGTTTAATTAATACTTTTATGTCATATGTGATTATCTTCAACAGTACCTTGCGCCAAGGGAAGTTATGCTGAAAAGAATGACGTTGTTTGCACTCCGTGTCCCATGCACCATTACCAGGAGAAGATGGCGGCCACCTCGTGTAAACTCTGTCCAAAACTGCACATCACACTATTTCCGGGGGCGGACACCTGTATCGGTAAGGGTAACCTCCTCACATCATTGTACAGAGAGAGAGAGAGAGAGAGGGAGAGAGAGAGAGAGCGAGAGAGAGAGAGAGAGAGAGAGAGAGAGAGAGAGAGAGAGAGAGAGAGAGAGAGAGAGAGAGAGATTGTAGATTGTAAATTTGTAAAAATAAAAAATAATTTATAAGTGGTATTAACGGCACAATATTGCGCGTAGCGTCTCTCCCCTTGTCCCCATCACCGTCTAATTCAATAATGTGTGTATGTTACAAATGACATCAGTAGTGAGATGGGTCGTTACCCTCACTTTGACTCGTTACAATGTAGGAAATGGCCAAAATCTGAACAAATGCCTTTTAAAGGGAATGGATACTACAGTTATTCAGAAAGCATTATATCCCAACTCATTAATTTCTCGGGCACAACTTAACAAGAAAACATTATGGCTCATGCAGATCAGTGTAGGGTGAATATTTTTATCCGTCGTTGTATTGTGATCCAGCTCTCTGCAGCAAGGGTTTCTTCTCCATGACGGGAACAGAGCCCTGCTTTCCCTGTCCAGCAGGGTGGTACCAGTATCAGCGGGGAGCCACTACCTGTCAGAAGTGCGCGGATGAGTATGAGCACCCGACTGCGGAGAAACAACCAGAATGTGACTCAGAAGTGTCAAGGAATGAAACAGCTTTGACTCCTGACCAACAAGTATCTGAATTCCTTCTGACCTGCCAGGCTGAGGATTGTTTGTCCTTCGGAGAAGGTGCCAATGTGGTACTGGTGTAAGATTGCTTTCAGTAATCAGCCAACCCAAGCATGTTTTACTCTTCATTTTGCTTCCCGGTTTTAGTGTTCTATATTTGTAGCTTGTGCCTTGATGATAAACATTTTACATATACGTTGAACTTGCAATACGTTCTTTGCCAGTGTTGGACAAAAGTTAGTTTAATCAACGATTTAAACATTGGGCTAGATGAGTAATTTCATCTTCTATAAACAGGTTTTGATGATGACGATGACGTATTTCAGCGTAAAACAAATATTCGAAACGTATACTAAGTATGCACAAGTACCCGAATGAGCTTATCAACATACTTCGGACATGTATTTGTAATAGTGGTGGGAGTGGAATGGGTAGTAGTGGTAGTTGTATTTTAGTTTTAGTAGTATTTGCACAAATATGAAAAGATAGGTAACGAAATATAAATAGAAACTAGTTTTAAAGCCCCAATTACTCCACCGTTTGCTCAAAAGTTGACGGTAACGGTAGAAAAAGATGACTTTGGGACATAAACTGCCGTGCAAAAGAAAGTATACTACTATGTTTAATGGTGGCTAAAGTGAAGCAAACAAATACTGGTTATTCGATGGTGACGTATTTGATACGGGTATCATATTTATCTTTAGGACCTTAGTTTGCAGCGTTTCGGTGAATGTTTTGATAAGGTTTGCAATGTTTTGGTCAAATCAATGTATGCTTTCTTTTGCCCGGCAGTGTAGTTAATACTGTGACATACCAAGTACATGTCTGTATATTTGGACAACTGGTAGTCACCAAAATAGACAACACACCTTGCTTAGCATTTTTCAATAGTAGTAGTAGTAGTAGTAGTAGTAGTAGTAGAAGTAGTAGTAGTAGAAGTAGTAGTAGTAGTAGAAGTAGTAGTAGTAGTAGTAGTAGTAGTAGTAGTAGTAGTAGTAGAAGTAGTAGTAGTAGTAGTAGAGGTAGTAGTAGTAGTAGTAGTAGAAGTAGTAGTAGTAGTAGTAGTAATTGAATTTAGTGTGAAACTTGGACGAGATATAGAAGAAGCAAATTTGAGCACCGCGGCTGGATATAAAGTGTCCTGGAGTTGTGCCCCTTTGATGTAGAGGGTTGTTGATATGGCTGGACAGTCAATAACATCGACATGTATTATAACTAGCCTTATATGGGAACGTCCATCACATTCCGTCATGACAGTACGAAATAAGCTGGACATTATTATTATGATGCCTGACTATCAACACATTCAGTTTTATATATTCAATAAAAAGGCCTGCAACCATCACACTGTTATTCCAGTTACAAGTGACCTTAACTTTACACGTTGCCGCACTGCCAATAGAAGCTAGGACTGTCTCCATTTGTCACATTTTTATGATATCAATTTACATGTACACCTGCATGACCTCTATACAGAATGTTTAGTTCTATCAAAGCATAATGGTTTGTATATCAATAAAAAGTATACATCCAACAGAAATATGTTTGTTTGGCTGTAAAGGAAAACGTATATGCATGACCATGCACATGCTACTGGAGTCTAGAGTTTTAAAATCGACGACTATGTTTCTTCTAAAACAACATGTAATTAAACAATGTAAAAAAACAACGTGGAATCCGGCGCAAATCAGTTCCCAGCACAACGCATTGAACCGCCTCGATAGTGCAGTGGATAGAGCACCTGCCCTGAGATCGAAGGACGGTGGTTCGATCCAGACAATAAAGTGATTGACATCATGAGCATAAATCTACGCAAATGGGATACGTTGACATGCATCAACCAAGTCAGCGAGCCTGACCACCCAATCCCGTTAGTCGTCACTTACGACAAGTATGGGTTGCTGAAGACCTATTCTCTACCCGGATCTTCATGGGTCCAAAAGATGTTAAAAGAAGGTACTTGTAATCCCGTCTGTCGTTCGGACAAAAGGACTGACGGGCTGGGAGGCAGTCAAATGTGTCTGAGTTGGGTATCCATATTAAATGCACGTTGCATTAAAACCGCATTGAACTTGAACGCGTATTTTAACCCCACCTCACCTTCACCTCTCATCACCAACACACATATTACATGTCGGAAAGAGTAAACTCGTATATTAAATCAATAAAAGCGGCAAATCCCTTTCAATATTCACAAAGCATCTCTGCCAAAAGTACAGTACATTGTACGATTCCGACCATTTCATAAGCACGTGTTTATGAATCACTATTAAATAGTGATGATTCACATGTACCAGGTGTTCGGGAAAAGGTGAGCGTATCCTGCCCTGCCAGTCACAAACACATGCAAAGGTTTTCACCCGAAACAAGGGTTTCAAGGAAAACTCTACCCTACATACATCTGTGTCATGTCTACCATTACTAAGTGTATGTGTTGACGAGACCTCTCACCCCGTCCGTTGACCTGTTGGACTTTGTCAGCTTACGTTACAAGCGTTCATAGGTACTGTTATCACTATCGTAGTATTCTCCGCTGACACAAAAATGAATGCTAACAAATGATTTCAAGTAACTTGAAAACACCAGATTTGTCACTGTTCAGAATGACTTTACGTAGTTTACAGTTATACATATTGATGAAATGTGAGCGAGTTGTATACCTTCAACTGGTCGTCTACGTATCTCGTTGAGGTGACGTGTCGCCTGTCGCTTGTCACCCCAATCTCTATGTGCCTCATGAGCATTTGACCGGCAACAGGGTCAGCTGAAAACAAGCAATCTTCATTTAGTTTCCAGTTTAAACCTAAAATAGGTTTCACTCATGGTTGTAGGACACCTTCAGTAAAACATGTCAATATAGGTAAGACTTGGACATGTGACATGGGGGCTGCCCTTCACAAATCGTTTAAATGAACATAATCAGTTCCACTTGAAAATATGTATAATGGTATAATAACAGGAGATGCAGCGCTTCAGATACGTTGATTCTATCAGCTTGTGTCGCAAAAACCAAGAGTTCACAGGGTAATCCTTGAAGTCTGGTTTAATCCTGCCTTTAGAGTGCTATTACTTTACGAACATTACCAACTGAGGAAACTGACAAGTGATTATTAACATGCAGTTATACTATTCAAACTGGTTATGTAATCATGCCATTCGGGGGTACACATGTCTGAATGCAGTTGTAGCATATTGATTTACCATAAACCGATAAAATATTGATGCAAAGACATCGTGAAAAATGTATTTGATAAATAATTAAAACAATAAAGCACAAGATAAGAAATCATGTAAAATCAATCATACATTACACTGTGCTAAATACTTAATAAAATTTCAGAGACCTTTGATTCTCGAGCAAAAAAATATCCCATTGTTCCTCTCTGTTGATTTTATCCTTTTCAATCGAAAATATCTGAAGTTAGAGACACTATATCCAGTAAATGAACTGTACCAGCTATAAGGTAGCACTCACAGAATATTTCCGCATGGTTTTATTTAAAAAAAACCCAATAATTTAATTTAAAACTTTTCAAATTAAACAAAAAAACAATTCGCATAATACACAATAGCCGAAAGGTATCTTAGACATGTTATCTAAGCTAATATGACCGCGGACAGAGGGGATTCCCCGATTAGAGTTTATTTTCGAACTTTCCATCACTGGAATAACGTGTCTGGAGACTTGTCACGTGTCTGGTTTAGGACTGAGGACTGAATTGTTGATTGTACCGGCAAAGATGCAAGACGGGCAAGCAGTCATAGTGAATTAAATTTTGTTTTTGCAGCAGAAACGGTCGGAGAGTCGGAACACAGTGCAGTGCTTGGGAAGTGCAAAAATCACTCGAAATTTGTAAATATTTATTGACACTCTGCATAATTCGGTGGTCACGGATTTGCAGGATCTGAGTAGGTGGAACATTTTTCTCAGGAAGTTTGAATCTGGTACTTTCGGGCGTAATGATTCGTCAACCGTTATTTGATTTCGAGTTCTTTATGGCACAAGCTTATTGACACCAACACGTTGTCCCTTTTGGAATTTGTTGCCAAGCGAAATGGTACGTCATGGCCACTAAACTGTGAAGTGTAAGGTCAACATAGCGCTTGCACGTATGAACGGGGCAGCGACCGTCACCTGTAAACCCAAGCCTGTGGTGTGACAGTCCGAACACCAGTGTTTTTGGTTTGACGCTCTGGGAACTGTGAGTACTCTCATGCCATATGCATCTTCATTTACTATCACATCGCCCCAGTGCATATTTCTAAGTGAAGTAATGATGTGAAATCCACCACGCTTTGTGTGGTGCCACCAAAGTGTTCAAAGTGGACTCAGTGGTTTGTGATACGTTTCTGTATCGATCTCACCTACAAACTTACGCTTGTTTCTTTCTTTGTTGTTGATGCTGCACACAGCAATATTCTAACTATATCATGGTGACCTGTAAATAATCGAATGTGAACCAGATAATTCATTGATCGATATTGTGAGCAACGATCGACGCCGTAGGGTACGATGACACGCAATGGACCAAGTCACCGAGCCTGTCCACCCGATACATGTGGTCGCCTCTTACAACAAACATAGGTTCAAACCTGGAATCCACGATGTACATGTACTAAGATATTTAGCACGCTCAGGTGAAGTTTCCATATCTTCTTTTCAAACCACCCTGACATGTGTTAACTCCGAATCGGACATAATAGATTTCACGTAGAACGTATTTTGAGGAGCCTGTCTGTGCTGCCAATCATACAATTCAAACGTATTAGCTCGTAATCCGACCCATCAGCCTTTTCTACATTCATCACGAATTTTCATAACTGTTTACAAAGTTTAAGGGCCGGACCATCTTCTACTTGTCTGATATCATTCTGCTCATGCAGGAGTCTTGTGATGGCTTTCATGTTACACTACTGTTTACGTTCTCATTTCTTGCAATGAAATCCGCAATTTCGAATACGTCAAAGTAAGTTGGCGTAACAGGTATTTCAACCCTTTAAAGTCACAATACGAAACCAGTCATCTTTGAAGAGGTCATTGAGATAAAATACTTTATTCATTGTCCAAAAGATTTGGTGTGGGTAACATCGACGTAAGCAGTCTCCAGAATGTGTTGCATTCGATAGCGAGGTAATCTCTTTTGGAACCATCATGCAATTTAATGTTGTACATGCTGTATGTTCCTGAAGGTTGAACAACCGATATCACCGTCCCCTCAGCTGATCAATTTGGACACACTCCTTTAATAGTAACAGCAAGTAACAAGAAAACTTGGATGCGAAGCATCAACACTGCGACAATCACGTTTTTCCTCAAATAAAATTTACAGTAAAATAATTTTCCCAAAATGTTTAATCAACAAATTTATTCATTCCCTGTTTTACATCTTACACCATGTTTTTTAATACTAAGAGATTACCTCCCTTACATACTGAATTAGATAAACAATGTCTTTCCACAGCGTATTCAGGACAGAACTGGCACATAGGCACTGTCTCCATCTGATGATTGCGGTAAACCGTGGCCGACGTGGAATATAATCCTCTATACCCCGTATATCGTACGTTATTCTCTACAAGTGTCTAATCACCGCTTGAAGTGAGTGAGTTTGCTTGGTTTAGCTCCGTTTTGTACATTATTCCAGTTATCCACGTCGTGTCAGCTTAATGTGGGAGGAAAGTCCGAAGTAATGCGGGTCTCAGACATTTACCACTTTCTTGAAATCCACGAGCACGAATATAGTGGTGACAAAACTAGCAACATAATCGGGGCGAACCGGGATTCAATCCGACAACCATAGGTTTCTGTCGTGCCCCCGTTAGAAGTGTTGTTTGTGTTCATTTCTTAATTTATCATTTTCTTGCCCTGGTCATGCCTGATATATAGGTTTATTTAAACTAGCTTGTTTATAATGGCTATCATAAAGTATTCTTGTATTAAAACATTTGAGTCAAATTTGCAATGTTTATCGAAATCACTGTGTATGACATTGGTAAAAAACCGAATTGATCAATATCACTCTCAAATATCTGGCTTTTAGTTTTAAATATGTTACAGTACTTTAAATTGCAGTTTTGGATGGAATGCACGTAATGTAATTTTAAGCAAAGCAGGTTTTTTCAAAGTTTTGTAAAGATGAAGCAAAGATGGCAAATAATCGGCTTACATTCCACAGAGTTGACAGTAAAAGCGATCAGACGTCAACTTGGTCACTATTATATACACAGTAATCAGCTGATGGATGAGACAACTGCTGAAACCAAAGTCCTTCCAGGGTCATTTGACGTCACAGCATGACGACCGATCACTGTTTGGATTAGTACGATGATAGCCCCGTCTTGAAGCGCGAATGGCTACCCAATCGACGGCTGTGCACAAGAACATTGAGGAACCGCCTGAGCGCAGAAGAAATGGCGTCCAGGAGAGTCATCAAATGCCTCCTACTGGCAGATCAACCTCAGAGGTTCCTTTTTGGCATGGTGTTTAGCACTATGGGGTTTAAATCTGAGAACCTGGTCGGAAAATAAAGGCAG